ACGCCAACTCTCACAACCTGACACCAACTGCTCACGCAGGTCCTCCACCAATGTCGAGTAGTCATGGTATAACATTAAATAAACCAACACCTACACCAAAAATAACTCCTGTATCACATCCTAGTACAACTAACCCAGTATCTGATTCAAATCAAGCGGAAAGATCACAGGTTCTTAAAAGAGCTAATACACCAACTGCTTCCCCTATTAGAACACCAGAGCCAACTCCAAGAATCACAAAGGCGCCAACACCTTCACCGACTGTTGAACCAACTCCAGAACCAACAGTACCTCCAACTCCATCTCCAACTCCATCACCGACACCTACAAAAGCACCTACTCCATCTCCAACTCCGACTAAAGCTCCGACACCGTCTCCAACACCAACTAAAGCTCCAACACCGTCTCCAACTCCAGCTGAACCAACTGATGCAGAATCTATTCAAAATTGGTTAGACGAAGAAAAGCGAAAAGAAAAGGCTGCAATTGATGCTGCACTAGATAAAAACACACCACCACAGACACTTGGTGGTTACATGTTAAAGAAAGACAACATTCAAAGACAAGAACGTGCATTGAGTGTTGCCAGAGAACAAGCACAAGAAGAGAAGAAAATAGTTGAAGGAGAAGCTTCAAATAGAGGTGGTCCAGGAACTTACAAAGGATCAAACTATCCAGCAGAGAAAGCCTCGAGTGATAATGTTGTCTCAAGAGCTACTGATTTAGTTACCCATGGTATTCTAACTGGTGCAACAGCTGTTGGTAGTGCTATTGGAACCAGTGTTGACACTGTTGTTGATACTGTAAGAACTGTTACAAATCCTACACCTGAAGATAGGAAGGAAGAATTTCTTACTCTTAATACAAAGGCAAAACCAGGGATATGGATTGGTCGTGGAATTTTAAATGCTGGTAGTGCTATTGGCAATGGTGCTTCAGCGGTAGGGGGATGGCTCGGAAGAACAGCAACATCAACCGCAAATGGAATACTAACAGGTGCCAAATCACTTGGTAATTGGGCTGATGATAAGTATACAAAATATTATGAAGAAAAAGCTCGTAAGGCTAAGGAAGAAGCTGAACGAAAGGCGAAAGAAGAAGCTGAACGTAAAGAACTAGAGGAGCTTAAGAAGAAAGAAAAAGCTCGTAAGGCTAAGGAAGAAGCTGAACGAAAGGCGAAAGAAGAAGCTGAACGTAAAGAACTAGAGGAGCTTAAGAAGAAAGAAAAAGCTCGTAAGGCTAAGGAAGAAGCTGAACGAAAGGCGAAAGAAGAAGCTGAACGTAAAGAACTAGAGGAACTTAAGAAGAAAGAAAAAGCTCGTAAGGCTAAGGAAGAAGCAGATAGAAAGGCGAAAGAAGAAGCAGATAGAAAGGCTAAGGAAGAAGCTGATAGAAAGGCGAAAGCAGCAACACCATCGCCAACTCCATCTCCTTCACCATCTCCATCTCCTTCACCATCACCAACTCCATCGCCATCTCCATCTCCTTCACCATCAATAGCGGCTCCTGTGAGACAATTTGGTGCATGGGGTGCTGATTTAGTCAAAGATGCTGCACAAGGAATTGGAAAGGAACTGAAGAACACAACATTAGGTACAATAGAGCGTTTTGGTAATCTTACGGATTACACAATTAGATCAGCTGCTAATCTTTTATATAACCAGACTACTGATAACGGTACTGATGAATTGGCTGTAAACGGACTAGCATCAATTAAGAAATCAGCAGAAGATAAATACGATGAATGGAAAAAGAATATTAAGGGTGAATATAATAAGTATGCATATCCTGAAGAACATATGAAGTTAGAGCTTACCAGACTAAGATCAAAATATGGTAATGAAACAACAAATACTACAACGCAAACGACGAAAGCTGACAGAAAGATTGATGACACTCCTACTCCAACTCCTGCAATGGCGAACATCACAACAATTGCTCCAAGAGTTCCAACAGGAGAAGGTATATCAGGAAATGTTTCAACTACTCATAACATTACTGAAGCAGCTAATGTTTCAGCAGTTGAGCAACCTGTTGTTAATGTAACTCAGGAAAACGCTACTGAAACATCAACACCAAGACAGGATGTAAATAATGAACGTCCAGAAGTTAAGGAGGTTGCAAAAGCATACCTGGAGAAAAATACTACACAAGTTCTTGAAGCAGAAAAGCATCTCAATTCAGACAAAACACCATCTCCAACTCCTGAAGCATCAGTTCCTCCAGCAATTGGTGGAAATATACCTTCAGTATCACCATGGCAGAAATTTTATGGATTGTTTAAAGGAGCGAATAAGGTAATGGATGCTGCTGAGAATCTCCAAAAGTTCAAGAATGAAGTCGCAACTGGTGCAAAGGAAATAGAAGAGAATGATAAACAAGCTGCTGAATTAGCTAAACAACAAGCTGAAGCAACTAAACAAGCAGCAGCTCCTAAACAATCTATATCTAAGTCTCAAAGACAAGGTCCTGACCCAAGTGCTAAAGTCAAACAGAATCCAACACCACCTGCAGCAGAGAAGTCCAAGAAGGACAAGGACAAGAAGAAGGATAAATCAAAGAAGGACAAGGACAAGAAGAAAGATAAGGATAAGAAAAAATCGTCAAAAGATAAAAAACATAAAAATTTATCCAGTAAGAAATGAGTCAAGTCATTAAAGCATCAACTAAACAAAAGTGGTTAACTGAATATATAAAAGATGGTAAGGTTCCTGATGGATATTATGTACATACAATGAAAGACGGACGTGTACAGTTCCGTAAAGTCAAGCAACCTCTCAATGATGAACAGATCAGAAGGAAGATCTCATTGTATGAAACAAAAATAAAGGACTTACAAGCTAAACTCGAAACCCACGATACTTCTCAAGAAAACTAGGCATATCTTTAACATGACCTTCATTAATATTTTTCCTCCAATACTGTACTTCCATTTGTGACAACCTGTTTGGATTACCTTCACGCATACCTCTACCTGTCACTTTTCCTGTATTTTCGTTCTCAAACGTAACATCATACTTTACATCATTACCGACAAGTTCATGACCATCAATACTTTTAACAGCACCGTGTCTTCCTTGATCTAAAGTTTCTCCTTGCTTTAATCCATGCTCTATTTTTGTCCATATCTGATAACGTGGATATCTTGCAACACTTCCATCTTTTGCTCTTAACAAGTATGCACTTGTATCAACTGAATCAACTGTATAATAAGAAGGATCAAGATGTCTTCTTTGTTGGTTACCTTTACCCCATGTTCTTGGTTCAACTATGACTTGAACTTTTTGACCAGGTCTTAAGTTATAAAGGTTATTTTTTCTGACATACTCTTCTTTCAATCTTTGCTTCTTTATATATTCCTCATTATCCTTTTCTGTGAAATCATCAGGCTTTTGTTGTGTGCTTGAATGATATTCAGTGTTGTAGTCATTAATAATTTGTCTCATTGTATCTGCAGTGAAAGGTGGTGTTTTATCACCTTCTTTGAGGTTTAACTTCATATGTAACATAGTTCTAATAGTTCTACAGAACCTATTAATAATACCTAGTATGTTATGATTGTATTTCTGTGTCGTCATGTGCTCAATGTTATGACTGACCAACAGATCTCGAACATTTTGTGTCGTATAAGCTGGGTCTTCATCACTAGTAAGTATTGTAGGCTTCATTTCACCTGTAGCTTGTGAAATGAACTTCTGCATTGCACTTAGAACATTGTTTGAGTTCTTTTCACTCATTGGGAACGCATAACCTTTTCTACTGTTTACATTGATGAACAAAAGAAAATATGGTGGTGTTCCACCAGGATTCTCAAATGTATCGAATTGATAAGCTCCCATATCAGTTGAATATATTGGTAGCATCAAATCCTCTTGTATTAAAGTTTTTTCTTGTTTACCAACAGTCATTTTTTTATTAACGTTAAAGTCTTACAGGCATTGAGTAATCGCTATAACCATCATGGTCTGCGAATTCATGTAATCTTGATGCATCAGGTTCTTTCTTCGTTGGTGCATGAAACCTTGCTTCATCATAAAGGTTCATATAATGGTTTGTCACGTTTGGGGTAGACCCAATTTTTGCATATTGAGGATATGAGTAATGATACACTAAGTTGAACCCATTACTACCATCATCAACATATATCTTTGGTGGAGGTTGTCTTATTAAATTCCTTCCTCTTGGGGCTTTGAGTTGGACGATCTGATCTAGATCATTGTAAACAACTCCTGTTGCAGTATATTCTGTGTTGTTCTCTGGGTTAATGTTCGTCATTTATATGAGAATAAAACAATTTTTACTCATAACAAATGAGATCGAAGTCAATTCTTTATGGTGCAGCTAATCTTCCAATTGAACCAACAAGCAATGTTGATTCAAGAACAACTAATAACATTGTGATAAAGAACTATCCATCTGGTACAGTAAGTGATGCTCCAACAGAGATAAAAAAAGAGGAAACAACTACGAACTCAGAAGCACCAATGTATCCTCCTCCTTTAAGTCCATTAACTTCCAACCTGACCTCATCGAGATCTGTGGAGACTTCATCGAGGATTGGTGTAGAAGAGTATTTACTTAGTATATACCAGAAGATACTTCTAGACCAAGACAAAGAGCTCTTTTCTAACTTAGTGAGCAAAGATCAGATCTTACTACCTAAGCCAGACTTGGAAGAAGTTGTTCACAGAATGACTGGGTTCAAGTGTGAAATAGACCTACTGGACCCAGACATCACATGTTGTGGTATTCCACCACCTTTCTCAAAAATAGCTCAGATCAGAATCATTGATGAGAACAATATTGCTCAAGAGTTTAAGTATGCATATAATGCACAATATACTGAGTTAATAAGTAGGTATAATTTATGTCTTAAGTATGTTATTGTTTAACCAAAAAATTTTTTATCTAATGTTAAATATGGTTGTTCAAACAAGAACAAAAGCACAAATGTTTCAAGACTTACTCAATAAAACTTATTGTTTACTCAAGTAATTATTTTAGAACGTTTCGACGTACTCCTTGATCTTATCAAGAGCTTCGAGCATCCGCTTCTTTGCATTGTACTTGGCGAGGATGGCTTGCTCAATGGTGAGCTCGAAGGCTTCTTTACCGATCGGACGGTGATCGCGAAGATCTTTGAGTGCATCAAGAGCTGCAGTGTACTCTGATGGTAAATGGGAGCCATCTAGTAATGGGTACAAAATGAGCATGTATTCCTGTAGTAAGTTCTCCTGTTTCAAGCGGGACTTGAACTCTTCGCGGAGATCTTGAAGCTTTTGGAGCTTCTCAGTGGCTTGAAGGTAGTCAATGATGACCTTCTCTTGTTCCTCAAGTGCTTGTGGGAGGAAGTGGACATAAGCTGTTGACTTCATCAAAAATGAAGTGGTCATGACACTTTTTAAGTTAATGTCCGAGCCATACAGTGATGTCGAAGCAGCACATGAACCAAAGAAGAAGTCTTGCTGGGAAAAGACAAAGATTGTTGGTAACGCAATCCTAGCCATTTGTGTTGTTTTGAACTTGATCGTACTTCTGATCTTGTTCTACAAACTCAACAGAGGTTATTGTCTCAAGTAAACACTTATTTTTATTACCATATAAATGATTTTTACCAAACCTCCTTTACCTTTCATAGGTAATAAGTCGAAGATCAGGAAAGCTCTTATCGACATACTCAAAGACATCAAAGGGGATTATGTCTTCGTTGACCTCTTTGGTGGTTCTCTCTATATCTCTCATCTGTTGCATATTATGTTCCCAAAAGCAACGATCATAGCTAACGACTATGATAACTACGTTGATAGACTGAAACACATTCATGACACGAATGAAATACTTAAGGAACTTAAGGAGAGAATAAATGTTAAGCCAGATGAGAAAATTCCTACTGATCAGAAAGAGATCGTCAGAGAAGTTATAAGTAAAGCTCCATACATAGACTGGGATACATTATGTTCACGTCTTCTCTATTCTGGAGCATACAAATACTATGATCTTGACACATTAATGAAGAAAGTGTTATACCTCAGATATACTAACTTATTTGGTGAAAACATAGATGACTATCTTGAAGGTTTAACTATTGTTCATAAAGATTGGAGAATACTCTTCAATGAGTATAAAGATCTTCCCAATGTTTTCTTTATATGTGATCCTCCATACTTCCATACTTATTCTATACAGTATGGAGATGAATGGACTCTTAAAGATACTGTAGAAACCTTTGATGTCCTTAATTATCCATCTATTTACTTCAGTAGTGATAAATCTTATACAGAAGAACTTTTAGAGATATTGACAAAAAGATATGGAGAGAAGTTTTCTATGAGAAAGCATGTTATAGATAGAGGTTTAATTAATCCTAACACTCAGAAAAATAATGAAGTAATATATGTCACTTTTTCTGTTAATGGAGAAGAGAAAGATCAAGAAGATAATAGTTGATGAGGGAACTGAAGAAGCGACGACATTCATCTTTGACGACGGAAAGCTCACATTCGTTGTCGATAAAAATGGACAACACTTACACAAAAGAAAGAGACCAAGAAAATTTTTAGATCTCCCAAAAGCTAGGAAACCAAAGGAACCATTTCCAGTACCAGCCGTCCAAGAACCAGAGAGACTTTTGATACCAAAACCTGTGGTTGACAAATATGATCCAGATCAGTTCTTCCCAAAAATACCAAAGTTAGAATAAAAACTCCTTTATTTCTTTAGTATTATATAATAAGTCTATTAGTAAGCTCTGTTCTCGTTCTGTTCTGGTATTTTGACGTCTTTTCATGGTCTCGCATAATAAGATCATGAACTTTTTCTTGAGATACTCGAAGAGCTGAGGTAAGTTATCATATTCTGGATATGTAGGAAGCATCCCTGCTATCGTAAGTGTTGTATCAATAAGGATTGGACTTATATCGGAAAAGTCGAGATCTGGAGTAGAATAAGAAGGTAAGTCTCTTACATGTAGGTAGTCATTATATGCTTTACGCATGAGACTGAGTTTCTGGAGCACAACTATGAGACTTTGGTTCTGACGTTCAAGTTTGCTTAAAGTTCTCTCCAAGCTTCTGTAATAAACGTCAACCTCTGTAAGAGCAGATATTTTTGCATTGATCTCGGAGATCTTTTCTTGAACTTCACCAAGTTTGACCTTAACTGACGTTTGAGCTCCCATCATGTTTTCATCAAGGTCATTCTCTATGTCATCAATGATATCTTCCCATGAGTTGTTTTCATCATTGATCTTAACGTGAACACTCATAAAAAATGTCATGTAAAGTATAAATGTCAGATTTTTACTCTTGAGCTTCTTTCTCTGGATTGACTCGTCTGTAGGGCTTAATGTGCCATCACGTTCGACCAGAAGGTTCTGCTCAGGTCTGTCAAGGAGCTGTCTGTAGGTCGTGAAGGTTTCAACGAGTCCTTGGTAAGGAGTTTGGAGATCAACATCGACCCATGGGTGTTTGCGTAAGAAAGCAGCAAGGCTTTCACGCTTGGAGTCAATGACATCTTTCTTATTGGTTAATCCTTCTTCAAAGCTTAGGATTACTCCTGCAGTTGATTCAAGTCTTTGGATCTGGCGTCTGGAAACCTTGGTGAGTTGTCTTATCCTCTCGTTTCCAAATACATGCAGGAGATATGCAGAAATTACTTCATTAAGTTCGATTAAACAAATTGGATGAAGATCAGTCATGGCTTTTGTAAAGCAATCTTTTGTAAAGCTGTCTTTTGTAAAGCAGACTTTTGTAAAGCTGTCTTTTGTAAAGCAGACTTTTGTAAAGCAATCTTTTGTAAAGCAGACTTTTGTAAAGCAATCTTTTGTAAAGCTGTCTTTTGTAAAGCAGACTTTTGTCAAGACGTCTTTTGTAAAGCAAAAGTATTCAATTTTGTGAGAAAATGCTTTTGTAAAGCAGTCTTTTGTAAAGCTGTCTTTTGTCAAGACGTCTTTTGTAAAGCTGTCTTTTGTAAAGCAGTCTTTTGTAAAGCTGTCTTTTGTAAAGCAAAAGTATTCAATTTTGTAAATGCTTTTGTAAAGCAGTCTTTTGTAAAGCTGTCTTTTGTAAAGCGTCTTTTGTAAAGCTGTCTTTTGTAAAGCAGTCTTTTGTAAAGCTGTCTTTTGTAAAGTCTTTTGTAAAGCTGTCTTTTGTAAAGCTGTCTTTTGTAAAGCTGTCTTTTGTAAAGCAGTCTTTTGTAAAGACATAACCGACGACCGAATGTCCCAAGATGGTACAACACCAGCTCCAGCATCACCAACACTAGATATGATGGCAATGATGATGCAGATGATGCAACAGCAAACCCAGCTTATACAGCAAATGCAGGAAAAGAAAACTTTCAATAAACCTGCAAAGAACTCACAAGATCTTGAAGCTGGACTCAATGCTCTCAGGAACGACTACAAGAGAGAGCAGATGACGTTTAGGAAGAAGGGTGATGAAGATTATGAGAATGATCCGATCGAGGAAGACGAGATCAAGTCCACTGCATCCACAAAGACCCTCCAGGATGAAAGAGATGATGAGGGATTCCTTACCAAGTCTCAAAGACTCTTTGTCCTTGAGTTCTTCACGATCTCTGCCTTGAGATCTATGAGGAATTGGAAGGGTCGCGTTCCAAGTGGCTCAAACAAGCGCGAACTACTCATGACCGCAGTACCGCTCACTAAGACAAAAGTCCAGCTCATGGACTTTATCCTTTCCGCTTGTCCCGACGAGATCTAAGATCTGATCAGAGTAAAAACTTACATTTATGAGCTAAGCTCAGTAATAATTAGTTGTTTATTCTTTCTTCTCATACTTCTGTGCAAGGTTTCCACGGAAGAACTCAAGCAACATTTGGATCTTTCCAAGCTTTCGACCTTCTTTTTCGAGGTCATCCTGGTAAGTTCGGAATGCGTCAACGTGTGAGCTCGCATAGAATGCAGCAACAACAACCTCTTCTGCACCTTCTTTGCTGTCAAGTGGCATGAACTCGAATCCTTCCATTCGACCAAATAAAAGTGACAAAAATGTCAATGAGACCCACTCGTTGCATAGATGCTAAACCTGGTCCGGAGATGCAAATGTTCTTCTTAACACTCATGTCTGACCATAGGGAGTACGGTCATGAAGAGGTCATACAGATCTTCGATCAGTGTGTACCAAAACCTGAGAATCCAGACGAACTCTTCATGAAAATTTACTTGCTTCAATGGAGAGATGAGAGAACAGATATGAAACTCAGACCAATACCAATCTTTCTAGGTTTCTGCAATTACCTAGAACAAGCATACCAGATTAAAGGGTCTGACACCATCTTCCTCCAAAAATAAACTTTATCGTTTATAACACTTCAGGATCTACATCTATTTCTTCTGCTTCATCCTCAATGTCGATCTCTTCGACAGGTTTGATAGCAGCTTTGAGTAAGTTCTTACCCATTGTCTTAAGTTCAACTGGGTTATATTCTTTGTCTTTACTCTTTGTTGATTTCGTGAGATCTACATATAAACAATAACTTTTAGTCTTGTCAAGGTTTATTCTCGCTGAGAAATGGTCAGGAATGTTTATAGCTATCTTTTCAAACTTGAGTAAATTAGCTAAACCTTCATTTGTGTATTTCTGCTTATCGACAAAGATCATGATCGGACTTGCACTATAACCATACTTTCCTTGACATAATGTTTGTGGTAAGCATATAAGTAGTCTCTTTGCTGTTTATTTTGCTTCTTCACTTCATCTACAAACTGTTGGATCTTAAAGAACTTTATATGATGTTCAGACATCTTTATATACCCGATAAAAAGTTCAGATAAAAAAATAATTAGCTATATTTTTATTAGTGCATAAATGAGTCTTTCTTTGAGATTTTCTGATGAAGATCTAACTTTGGTAAGATCTTTAAAAGATGATGAAAACATTCTTTCTGTCATTGATGAAGAAAAGAAATACTTCAGTAATGATGTAAAAATAGAGCTACTCATTCATACTGAGAAACAGTTTGTGATCGTGATCTTGAGTTAAGCAGCTCTGAACCAAGCGAATACAGTCATAAATGGTGGTAAGAAGTCTTGACCTTTTCCTGTTGCATCTGTGATTCCAGCTACTGTGTGAGTATGGTTTCCTGCAGATCCGCAGAAAATACCTGTACTAACATCTCTAGGGTCATCTGTGATATCATATCTATTCATACCTTGTCTATCAGAACCTGCTGCAAGATTTGTATAACCTCTTTTTGTCATTGAATGTGAATGCTCTCCATTAGTAGATGTTGTTGCACTGAACCTATGGAGTGTGGTGGAAGGTTTTCAACTCTGATAGTCTTTGAACCACCAAAGTCCATTGATGAGTTAGAACAGTAAAGAAACTGATCAACAATCGGTTGCCAAACACCTCCATAAAGGGTTTGCGGGCTTGTTGAGCTCATTGATGTAAATATAGAACCAATTGGATACATCATGTCAAACATGTTAGAAGGTCTATAAGTATAATCTACTGTGGTGACATCGTTCAAATAAAACTCAAACGTATCTCCAGGATGAATAGTTAAGTTTGTTCCATCTTTTTTGTGGAACACAAGTTCAATAGATTTACCATGACTCAATGTATAGTAACTTGGACCTTTTTCTGATGGACCAATGTTATAATTTATAAATATTGCAACTTTACCCATATCATTATTACCAAAGCTAACTGTAATGCTTTCAGGTATTCCATTGTTTACAGATGCATTAGAGATCTTTGAGATCTGTTCATTAACATAAGTTTTGTCTGCTTTGTTGTCTAACAGAACTGGTAACTCATGTGCTTTAAAGTTGTTATAACTCATAGACATATTATATGCAGTACCATTCAAATTTTGCAAGGTCTCTGTTAAACTCATATGAGGATCTTCTTGTGGAGCACTTGAGCCTAAAGTATAGTTCAAGATAATGTCATCAGCTCTTATTTTCTTGATTTGAACTGGTTGGTCATTATCAGCTCCTATTTTATTGATTATAACAGGTTTGTCTTCTCTTGAACGAATTGATTTAACTGTCAAAGGTTCAGTGAACTCATTATTTTTCAAAGGAAACAATGTTGTATTGATGTTTTCACCATTAATATATACTTCTTTTGTATCAATACCAGATGGGAATGAAACTCTTTCATTAACTTTAACTGTTGTACCATCACCTGGGTACATATCTTTCTCTGGACCTTTGATTGTCTTAAGTATGACAGACTGTGATAAAGTATATTCTTTAGATGCAACTTTACGTATCTCTTCGTCAACATAACTTTTGTCAGCTTTGTCTGCAATCTTAAGTGCAGTTCTTCCTCCATTATTTTTGTTCTCCTCAACTTTCTTCGCTAATTCAGCAAGAATGAGATAAAGATAATCAGTAAGGTCATCAGTACCAGACATATTAATATTATTGTTCTTTCTTGATGTATTAGCAACTTTCACTAAGGTCACAAAATCAGGGTACAAAGTACTTAACGTAGAAATGATTGTTTTTGGTCCAGGATCTTTCTCTTCTTTATCATTAGCATCACGTGCCATTAGAATTGGTTCCAAAGGTCCAGTCACATCAAAACTCTCAAGTTCCATATAACCTTCATTTCTGAATCTTTCTATATGAGTTATCTTCTGGAAACTTGTTTTAGTCTTTTCAACTAAATTTTTTATTCCATCCACAAAACCTCCTTTATGATTTGGACCAAGATTACCCAGAGTGTCAAGAACAGTATCTATACCTTCTTGACTTTCAACAAAAGCCCAAAGAGCATTTATTTGACTCTGGAGTATAGATCCAAGGTGATGTGATTTTTGCATCCCTGGGATGGACGATACACCCAAAGTGTCACCTTTTTTGGGATAACATGAATTTTAAATATCATGAGAGTTCTGCAAACCATATGCACAATATCTATTCAGCCTGACTTCTTGTATATATGAGTTAGACTTCTTAAATATTGTGCTTGGGGCGATATAAGCATTTCCGAGATTACCATCGTGCTCTATAGTATGCTACTTCTCCCTGGTTCTAGCTCAGTTCCAAGGATATTGGCGTTCAAGGATTTGGCAAGGTCCTTCCGAAGTCTCTCATTCGATGAGAGATTTCGGAAGAATCTTGCCTTAAAGTACTCCAACTCTTGTTCTTTTGTTCCTAAATAGTGAGAAAAGTTATTTGACTACTTAAGGTAGAGATTATCCGAGGTCCCTCATTTGATGAGAGGCCTCGGATAATCTCTGCCTTAAAATTGTACACTTGTAGTCCATGAGAGTGTAAGTATACATTGATAGGACAGCTTTCTTCTGAAGTCTTAGATTTGATGAGAACCTCAGAAGAAAACTGTCCTATTTTATAGTAAAAGGAGTTTCAGGAGCTCCAAAGCTCCCTTTCGTAAGGATTAGGAGCTTTGGAGCTCCTGGTTCGTAGATGTGTTTCGCATCTTTCATCAGCAAAGGACATTTACCATCTGGGACTATGTTGATGGAGACTCAGGAGCTCCAAAGCTCCCTTTAGTAAGGATTAGAAGCTTTGAAGCTCCTGGTTCGTAGACGTGTTTCGCATCTTTCATCAGAAGAGGCCCAAATGGTAAATAGCCTCTGCTGATGAGCTTCAGGAGCTCCAAGGCTCCCCCTCGTAACGATTAGGAGCTTTGTAGCTCCTGAAGGTAAGGTAGGATTGCTCTGATCTCTAATCAGTAGATGCCATGCCTCATTATGAACTCTACTGACAAGAGATCAAGAGCTCCAAGGACTCCCTTTTTAGTTAGTGGCGTTCTCACCATTTAGTAGGATTGCTGATCCTACTAATGAAGTGATCACTTAGTATACGTTTTGAATAAATTGAATTTTTTTTTAGAATTTAGTATTTTTTATAGACATCACATGTATATTATAAATACATAAATATATTCTTTAATTCAAAAAATTCAATTCGGTTTTGGGATGGGTATCCCAGCCCCAAGTATTCAATTTTATTCAATTTTTTAAGAATTTTGGGTTGGGATGCCCAGACCAAAACAAGCTTTATATTTTGATGTGTAGATACGTATGTGTGCATCATTGTTGTGTTATATATTATGTTTTTAAAGAAAAAAAATCTGATTCAAAAAAAATTATCACTAATTAGTTGATAATATAAAGAAAAAATAGATAAATTGTATGTTTTGAGAGTATTTATCCACATTCACTCATATGAATTCATTAAATAGTGTCTTTTTACTCCCAAATTTATTTTGAATTATTGAAATCAAAGAAAAAAATCAAAAAAAATTTCTCGAAATTTTTATTTTCAAAAAAAATTTGGATTTTATATTGAAAACTGACACTGGGAGGACGATAGGGCTGGGATTGGAGATACCCCGCTCACTTGGGAAAAATACGGATCTATACTCTGGAGTGATATCCATGAGGCTGCAGTAGCTCCAGCGTTTGCTATGGCAAAGATGAATGATAAAGGGTTGAACTTAAGACCAGATTCTTTATCTTTGACAATTTCAACGAAGTCATTGATATTTTTCTTCAAGTATTCCTTAGTCAGAAGAACTCCATCGCCAGCTATACCAGTTGCTTTTGTCTTTCCTTTAACATCAAATGTGATTGGTTTCTTCAATAAAATAACTTCTGGTGTTGTACTGATGCTATCATTAGTGGAGAAAAATTCTCCGACATGACTTGCTAAGTATTCTTTCGTCAATAATGTTCCATCACCAACAATACCAGTTGCTTTTGGACCATCTTCTGTGAATGTCAATGGTTTCTTTAACATAACTTTATCTAAGTATATTGCAATACCACTATTTTGTACTTGTTCATGACCTAATATATAAGCAAATGCTGCGTTTAAAGCATTATACAATGTATCTTCTTTAAATGTTAATTGACTGTTTTCAATCATTGGTATATTGAACAGTGTAGACCTTGGGTCAAAATGAACTCCATGGTCAATCGATAATAACCGTTTAACATGATATATTATAGTCTCTAATGCTTCATTAATATTTACCTCACGAGTTTCTTGCAAACCATTACTCGCCATACATGAAAACATATAATCTCTATCAGTTGTGAAGAATGGAGCATCTAAGTAATTATTCTCTACTTTTGTCACACGATTCTGTAACGCTTGAAGGTATTGATTTAAGTCTGTTTCAACAATTGTACCATCTGGTTGCTCGATAGGTAATATACCAGGACCGATGGTAATGTCTTCATCAGCACCTTCTTTATGTATGACTAAAGCATTATCAGTAATTCTGAGAGTATATTCTTTATATTGAAGTACGCTAGACTTATAACATTCATATGCATATGGAACAACACTCATTCTTTTACTACATATAAAAATGATGTATTATCTACAATCGACTGATCCTAATAACTACGGGACAATACAGTTTCAAGCAGATCCTAACATGGGGCATCCAAGTAAGATAAAGATGAGAGTAAAAAGTGTCAGTACTATGGCGAACTTTATTGTTTGTGACGAAACAGATTATTTTGTCTTACAGTTAGACGAAGATGGAGAAGAAAAGGTGTGTACATTTAAGTCAGCTCTTTCATTTGATATGGATACTATTGTATCAAAACTACAAGAGATTGTAACAAAACAGTTTGATTATTATAACAAGAAAAAAGGTCAACATAATGTAACAGTTTCACTGAGTGCTACGAATCAACTTATATTTACGTCACAGGACAAAGGACATAAAGTCTATTTAAAAGATGCTTCACATAGAGCAAATCTTATTTTAGGTGCATATGGAATAGAACTACCTATTGTACATAATTATTATCTACAAATGCCAAAACCACCTATGCTCAACTTCGGGTATCAGTTATACCTTCGTTCATCAATGTCTGTCATCTCTGGGTTCAATAATATTGACCAAGTTGATGATCGAAGAAAGATCATGTACAGATCTACATGTTATAACATCAATGAGTTCTGGATATCTGGTAAACCACTTATATGTAAGGAATCCTCACCATGGATAGATGCATTTCCATGGGAACTAACTAATGTTACGTTTACCTTAGTTGACTTCCAAGATCAGCCTGTTCGATTATTGTCACCAATGTTTATGGTGATAGAGATTAAACCAGATAAGCCAGAAGTTAGAGAAACCAATGATGTCAGTGATGATGATACAGAATCTTCGTACGATTATGATTACGATGACGATTAAAAAAAATAACGTATATTTTTTTATCGGTTATAAATGTCTTTGTTCAGTACCTTTAAAGGACTTGTTAATAAACTTCCCCAGATGTCAAGAGAGGTATGTTTGATATGTTTGGAGCCAAACTGCCTAAGAAAGAAAAAGATATTACCAATAAATTAGCTCTGATCTTAAAGAATCAAGGATTACTTACAGGAAGTGCAGAAGAAGCTATCAAGAATGCTAAGAGCTTCTATGATGACTACAATGGTATCATGAATGTTCCAGCTTCAAATTCCCCAGTTGCTTTAGATCACGATCAGAGATCTCATAATAGAGCGTTAATGGAGATGCAACCAATATACTCAGACCCTCCACCAAAGATTGATGAGAGCGAATTAGCATACAAAGAAATACAGAATGCCTTTTACGTTGTTAAGAACATTAATGGTCAAAAACTTCCTGATGAGAAATGGTTAGACCCAATAACTAAAGCAGGAGAAAGATTCATTATGTTTAACATTGACCAATACAGTCCAAGAGGAAAAGATTACTTCAACAAGATGTTTCCAAGAGTTATGGCAAAGTTCATTGGACAGATAGACCTTTTCAAACAGAAGTGGACATTCTATTACGACTTTGATGAGAAGAGAAACATTTTGCGTCATTTGAACATCAATACAATGGGATCATTAGTTCATCAGTTACTTAATGAAGCTCCAATAGCAGAAGTACAAGAATTAGCATCTAAAGTCCTTGAATCAAACTATGACTTCTTCCTTTGTAGTATTCCTTCGTTAAGGAAGATCGAGATCTTTGACTATACAGCTTATTCAGATGTTGATGCTTCTGCTTTGAGAAAAGGAACGTACACACCATATAAACTCACAGCTGAAGAACAAGTTATGTTAGATACGATGAGAGCAGCAGGTCAAGAAAAGATCGCACTCAAGATCATCAAACAAAACCATTCAAAGAAGAGAAACAGGTCACGTAATGGTCAGCTTTGGACATGGACATGCAAATTACCTATTAACTTAGAGAGGTATCAGATCTTCAACGAACTTAATGCAGAGACAGCAAAGAAGATGATGAAAGATTCATGTTTCATCTACGCTTGTATTCAAGCTGGTGTTGACGAAGCAACAATTAATCATATGAGGGAAATCATTCGTGTCAAAGATTTTCCAATGTCAAAGATTAAGGTTATTGCCAAAGAAACAGGAATAAGGTTCCATGTCATCAAATACAACGAGAAGTATTCAAATCATTCATATACTTATGAACCAGATGAAGAACCAAAGATGACAGTAGAACTTTTATTAATGTATGACCACTACATGTTGAACGAAAAGCTTCCAATAAGTTCAATGTTCATCAAGAACTATGAAGATGTTTGTAAGTTGTGCAAGGATTGGACTTTAGAGAAGAAGATGTTAGTTAACAGAAGATATGAAACAAGGTATGCAATTAACTCAAAGTTAGTTACACCACTTGCAAAAGTCATTGAACTCTTGTTTGCTAACAATTATTTCGAACCAATTAGAACAGGAGAACTTTGCACATACTTCACAACGATGTATAATGAGAACCTTGAAGAAATGATTGACCTCACATACAATGAGCGTTATTGCGCAAGGATGAAGAAAGATTGGAGTTCAGAGACGAAGAAAGACATGAAGTTCCCAAGAGAACATGTTTTCTTTGCTGACTTCGAAGCATCAACTGATGGAAACATTCACAAAGCATACAACATTTGTTTCATGGAAGATGACGATGATGGTTATACATCAATTTGGGGAAGTGACTGTGCGTCAAAATTCCTCGAAGCTTTACCAGATAAGAGTTTAGTTTATTTCCACAACTTATCGTACGATGTCACTTTTCTCATGTCTCAGTTAGAAGAGATTACAGGAACTCCAATCATCAAAGGTTCACAAACGATGCAGATACAAGGAAAGTACAAAGGAAAACTTCTCTGCTTCAAAGACTCTTATGCAATCATCTCAACTAAGTTGGAAAGATTCCCTGAAATGTTTCACCTCACTAGTGGTGAAAAAGAAGTTTTCCCATATAATTACTACACGGAAGAGTTAGTTAATACAACTAAAGTTGGTAACATCGATGATGCCATGAATCATGTCAAAGATATTGAAGCTTTTAATGAGAACATTGAGAAGATTGAAGATTGCAAGATTGATGATGAACACTTTGACATGGAAGTTTATTCGTCATTCTATTGCGGTCAAGATGTACGCATTTTACGAGATGGCTTTCTTAAGTTCCGCAATGACCTCATGACTGAGTTTGAAATAGATGCTTATGATTATGTTTCAATAAGTTCTATCTCAAACAAACTCTTTGAGAAGAGAGTATATTGGAAGAACGGTAATCTCTTTGATCTTGCAGGAAAACCTCGTGAATATATTTCCAAGTGTATTCAAGGAGGAAGATGCATGCTAGCTGAGAACAAGAAGCAATACAATGAAGGAGAACTCATCACTGACTTCGATGCTGTATCATTGTATCCATCAGCAATTGCTAGACTTTACTGTTTAGAAGGAATTCCAAAAGTTATGACAGAAGAGATGAAGAGCAGTGAATACTTGTTGGAGCATCTCTTTGATGATGACCAAGCTGAACCAACAAAGGAAAAGTTCATCTCAGGATTTTACTGTCAGATCGAGATCTTGTCGATCGGTAAGAACTCAGCATTCCCATTGATTGTCGTCAATCCTGACATCAACCCTGACTTACATGTTGCCAGAAGTTCCAATACATGCTGCAAGATGTTCGTAGACCACATTACGCTTCAAGATCTGATCAAGTTCCAAGAGATCTCATGCAAAGTCATTGATGGATACTATTATGATGGAAAAAGGGACATGACAATAAGGAATGAAGTTAAGAAGCTCTTCGAATTACGTGCTAAGTATAAGAAGGAAGGTAATCCGATACAAGAGATCATCAAACTTCTTTGAACAGTATCTATGGTAAGACGATATTAAAGCCCATTGACAAAAAGATTCGTTTCATCAAGGACAATAAGCTCACTGACTATATCATTAAGAACTATAATGACATACAGACAATAGAGTTCATCCCCGATTCCGAACTTTCATGTGTAAAGTCATTTAAACCTATCGTTCGTCACTTTAACTATTGTCCATTAGGTGTTTCAATCCTTTCTATGTCCAAACGAATCATGAATGAAGTATTCTTCACAGCAGAAGATTTGGGCTTGAAGTTGTTCTATCAGGATACAGATAGTTTACACTTGTATGAGAAGGACTTAGATAAGTTAGCAGAAGAATACAAGAGAAGGTATAACAGAGAACTCATTGGAAAAGCACTGGGTCAATTTCATTCAGACTTTGCAGAGATTACTGCAGGACATATGTCTAAGGCACAAAGATCTATATTCGTTGGAAAGAAGACTTACCTCGACGAATTAACCAATGACCTCAAGGAAATTGCTTTCCACTGTCGAATGAAGGGAATCACACAGGACGTAATTGCACTTACTGCAAACCAAATGTTCCCAGATGCGATACAAGTACATTATGACGAGAAGAAAGGTTTGTTCTTCCCTGAGAAAGTTGGGGAAAAATATAGCATCGTGGAATTGTACAAATCTCTTTATGAAGGTGATGAGATAACCTTTGACTTGTGCATTGGTTCGAAACCATGCTTCAACAAAAATAAGGACTTCAACTATTTCAACGAAGTCATCTTTTGAACGTAAGTTAAAGTTCTAAACACTTACTTATTATTTTTCTTAGCTTCTTCCTCTTCTCTCAATTTCTTTGCAATCATTCGTGGATTCTTTGCGCGTCCAGCTGCTAATGCAGCTAATTGTTTCTCTGTGAGTTTACGCTTTGGTTTAGCTGGTTTCTCTTCTTGTGTTTGTTCTTTTGGTTTGAGTTCATTAAGTATTTCTTCACGAAGTTCATTCTTGAGTGCTTCTCTGTCGAAAGTATTCTCAGTCATTTTGTTAGGAGTAAAAAATTTTATTAGGATAGAAATGACGTCAAAACTTTCACCAAGTGAAAAGCAATCAATCATATTGAATGAAGCTAAAGGAATACAACATCCATTATATTATGTTTGTCATATGAAGAATGGTTCAGTTCAAGTTAGAAAGAGAAAGGCACCATTGAATTCACCAGCTCCTGCCCCAGCTCCTGTTGTTCAAGAAGCTCCTAAAGTTGATGAGAAGAAAGAAGAAGAACAAGCATATACTAATAAAATGTTGTTAGAGATGATGACAAAGATATTAGAACGTAACAGTGTAGTTAATGAACCAAACATGGACCCAATTGAACGTGAGAAGGAAACTAAAGAGAATCAAGAATATGTTCAATCAATGGAAGAGAAAAGAATACACTTCGATGATGAACCAGAGCCTGAACCAGAACCTCCTAAACCTCAGCCACAAATAAGACGAATAATCCCAAGAATAAGAAGATTGTAAATTTTTTATAGCTGAGAAAGATGTTGAACGATAACCTCAATACATACAGTATTGCTGATTCCATCAGACAAGTAAGATATTATTTCGATCAAGTTGATGGGGCAGTTCCTATTGGAGATACTAACCATAGATATGTCCCAACAAAAGTGCCAGCTATGCCGACAAATACTATTGATAACGGTTATATTACATTTAACATATCACCACCTGGTGAGAACATGATTGACTTATATAATACGTTCATTAGTGGTTATGTCGATGGTGAGTGCATAATTACAACAGAAACTGAACCAGCTGATGAAAAAGTTCCTAAATATGATGGTGAAGTATATAAAGAAAGAGCTGTTGAGACAGCTCCTACAGGATCAAATGTTACAGCAATTAAAGCAATTGATACTAAATATGCTGGTGGCAAATCATGTGCACATCTTCCAGCAATTTGGTTGGGATACATTGATTCATTCTATGCTGTTGAATCATATCAATTAATCGCTAATGGTAAAAGTGTTTATACACAAGATAATGCTAGAGAAGAAGGTTACATTACTTCTACTGCATCTACAACAGAAGCTATTAAGAAAGTTGATGTATTTAGTAAGGCTAGACATAAAGATGTTTTCAATAGATGTGATACAGTTCGTTCTGGACAGATTATTGAGTTCAATAAACCAATTAGTGGTGCAACTACATTAAAGTTCCACATACCAATCAAGATTGACCTAAGAAGATTCCTAATACTTAATAACATTAGATTCCTTCCAGCGTTTGCTGGTAACTTACAACTTAAGGTTAAGTTCAGTATTGCTGGTATGGTTTGGACACCATTAAGTTATCAGGATATTCTACCATTACCGAACATGCAAGCCAATGTTACAAGCTATATTCCAATCACTAATCACTTCACTCCTATCTATGAAGGTATCAAAGTTATTGATACTGTAACTTGGACTGCCGATAAGAGTACGATATCATTTGGTACCAAGTTTATTAAGTTCGCTAAGAAGAATGCAAACTTCTTTGAAATGATTACGTACTGTAACTCATTCTCTTTGGACCCTAACATCTATAGTGATTTGGTGACAAGATATTCGGCAAAGACTCTAAACTTCCCAATCAAAAGAATTGACTGCATTACTATGGATGGTTCAATGGCTAAAGGTGAAGGAACTCCTTGTACATTCACGGCAGCATTTACTCCATTATATGTGAACACCATTTATACACTATTTAAGAAAACACCTAATTATAACACTACCTATGAAAATCCATTGTTTGAACAAATTCAATTGAACTGTGGAGCATATGGTAACATACCCGCTGAGGCTCAAGCATCTAATGATCCAATCTTCTATGAGATGCAGGCAAATGCCACTAACAATAATAACGATACTGTTGGCTTCAACTATGATGTCATGAGGTCTATCACAACCACATCAGTCCCTCAATTTGGAATCGAGTCAAATGACTTAGGTCATTACCTATGTGGATTCCCTTGCGAAACTGATTATACATTCCAACAGGGTCAGTTATCTAATTCACCTATTACATATAAGCTTACAGTTAAGCCAACAGCAGAGTCTATTAAATATACTGAGAAACCAGTGTTATGCTTCTTACGTCACGTTTGCCTCTCCATACAGATTAAACAGGTGGGACCACCTATCGTACTTCTCGACGATTATGATTTATCAGCCCCTGCTAGTGAATAAAGGTTAGTTTACATATGAACGTTTATTTTTACACATATATGCGTACATATGCGCGCCCGTATGGTGTCAGTTTTCTGTCACTTTTTTCATTGTGTCGGTGCCTGTAGCTGTAGGCTACAGGCGACGCACAATGTATACTGTACTCAACAGATGAAAAAATTTTTATTTCAGTAATTGGTTTAACAACGTTTATTTTTTGTTGAACATTTTCACTTTCATTTATTTCTTCCTCCTTTGTTTCATTTATTTTTAAAATCGGTTTCATTTATCATTAAATAAAAATTAGAATATAAGTGATGAAATATATTTTTTAATTAATATTAAATCAGAAATGGCGGCAGGATTCTTTAAAAAATTATGGGATGGAATTAAGAAAGCAGCAAGTTGGGTTCATCAAAAGATTATTAAACCTGTTGCAAACTTTTTGGCACCAGTAGCGAAAACGGCAGGAACTATCATAGGTGGCGTATTAGGTACAAAAGCAGGTAATCCGGCGATGGGAGCACAAGCAGGTAACGCAATTGGTGGAATAGCTGAAGGAATACTTAATAAAATAGGAGGTGGTTAGTGGAAAAATAAATAAATATTATTTTTATCTTAGTATCGGTTGAAGTCTTTGATAAACTTTTTCTCCTTTATTTAAAATTTCTCTTATTGGGGCAGCTTTTGGCGTTATTGATTCAGCAACGTCACTAATTGCTTCTTTATTCTTAAATATCCAATTTGCTCCTTTCTTCATTGTTTCCCAAACTTTATGCGCTCCTCTTTTTACTTTATCCCACAGTTTCTTAAAGAATCCTGCAGCCATAGTTGATTATTTCATTAAATTAAAAAATTCATTTTCATCTTTTAATTTTGATTTTATTAATTATAAATGACGACTAACTATTTAGTGCCAAACACAAAACCGATTAATGGGAAATGTGTTTCATTCATTCGAAAAGATAAATGAAATATTTGCAAAGAATGATGGTAGAAGATATTATAGAAAACAGTTCATGCTATGACTCTGATGCTCCATATTTTGATGATAAACAACTCATTTAAGAATTACAAATCCGGCTCATGATGTGAACCAATTAGGTGACACATATATTAAACGCAAGTTAAAGCAACTCTAGTTTCAAATAAAGCTTTCACATGTGATGCCGCTTTTAAATGCATGCGTTTATTCGTTGGTTAACAAATCATCAAATCAAAGCTTTAAACAATTAGAAGTAGAAACCGAAAGAGGTGATGCCGGTTATCTTCAGATGGATTGTGCCCGTGAATCTTTCGCATTTGCAACATATAAACCAAAATCAGAAAGGAAAGTTAAAAAGTTTGTTTCATTCGTTATATAATAATGTTCAAAAATATGATAACTCAGTATGTGGTAAATATATTGACCCTTCGAAGTTTTCAAGAAGATAGTTAATGATATCACTTTTGATATGATTATTCCGGTAAATGATTTGTTAGCATTTCAGGCGTTCGATGATTATCCTAAATCATTTGGTGAAATCATTCTTAAATATTATGTTTTCAGGGATACTTTAGTATTTTGTCAGGTTGACCCGTTAAGAGTTGCTGATTTACAAAATTATGTTTATGAAAAGATAACTGATGAAATTATGAAAAGATTATGAATCATGTTTAAAATATGATCGCAAATTCCAACAAATCGGACTTCCTGCAAATTAATTACAAGCTTAGCCGCTACATCTGCTGACGCAACAGTTGAAGACGTATTATTTCATGCACAAAGATGAAGTTTTAGAGATAAATGTATTACACCAGATATGGTTTAATTGAAGAATCAGTTAAAGCAATACCACGTTTATTCAGTAAGGAAGATCCATTCATGATTCCAGCTCAACATATTGACGTTCGTTCACTAAATGGAGTTTGCATCACTCCTGAAGGTATCAGCTCAGATTTCTCATACGCTCTTCATAATGTTACAGATGTAGTGTTAACATTTCCGAAGAATGCAAACAGAACAGAAAATCCAATGCTTCGAGGTCTTCAGGTCACTATAGATTCCAGAAACTTCCCCGATCAGCGATGACCACAGTGGTGACGTATGCTTCAACTGATTTAGTGGAGTGAATGAATGCACGGAAGAATACGAGGATCATTAACTAGACCACTAAATGATGATGATGGCAAGCCATTAACTAGAACATGGAAAGATCAAACTTCATTCTTATGCACTATTCAGTTCAACGTGATGGAGCGGGTATATTCTTTTGATGATTAGAAACTTTCAATTCACCAAGTTACAGTACAAGTGAAAGCCTATCCAATCATTCAGGGTGAAAATGACACTTACTGTTCAAAAGTGACAAATCCTCCTCAGGTTTGGTTTACTAGGACTACATATTGGACATGGACCAGATGAAAGGTTTGAAATATCATCCAACAGGTACACCACCGCAGTATAGAAGTTCATATGATGAATATTGATGAATAGAAATGTTTAAAATTATAAATTTATTTTGATTAAATGGATTTAAATTCATCACTCCTTATGAAGAATTAGCGGGAGTATATAATACATACGTAGATGATATGATTAATGAAGCATTGAGTGATAATAGAAATGCTCTATCTAAGGAAAAATTAATGAAAATTCCATATTCTGAATGTTACTTAAATTCAACACTGCAGCAATTGGTAAACAAAATAAAGGTAAAACATTAACGATATTAAAACAAATTACATTATTGCTAACACTTCCCCCCATTCACATGTGTTATATCAACCGTTCAGGTTCACCTTCAGATGATACATTTGAATCTTTAAAGCATTTAATCAAAATTCCAATTATTTATTTATCACAAGAAGAAGCAGAAGATTATAAAAAACTTTTTTAATGTATAAAGAATTATATAATACAATCAAGAAGCAAGGATTAGAGGATAAAATTATTGATAAACAACGCGGATGAATTATTTGAAACACTTTCTATTTCAAATTTGATAGAGAATTTTTGCATTCACTAATTTTTCTAGATGATGCCGTGAAATCAAAACTAATAACTAATGAGAAATCATATTTTTAATCAGTTATTAACTCAATGTCGACACATTCAGTGTTCATTCTTCATGGCTGTTCAAATATTTCAAAGCATTAAGCACAAACATTAAATCAAATCTATTCAACCCTTTTCATTTTCAGTGGGTTTAGTCGTCAACAGTTGAACGTTATGCTTTATCAAGTGAATTACCAATGAGCATTAATGAACTTTACCACACATATCAGCAATTAGGAGAACATGGGAAAATAATAGTTGATTTAAATAAAGGATGTGTTAAATTTGATTAACTTTTTATAATTAATTTTTATTTTTTATTTATAATTAAACATGACAGAAAATAGCAAATCTTCTACAGGTTCCATTAAAACAAGGGACAAACAAAAAGGTGCATATAATAGAACTATGAAAGTTCCTGATGGAATGAAAGAATTAGTTCATATTGTTGCTGGTCTTCAAAAAGATGTTAAACAAATGAGAAATGTTTTAACATTACCAGAAGCTCAAGCATATGCCAAACGTCATGGTCCAAATTGGGAAGCACACGAAGCATTACGGGTCCAAATGGAAAACCTGATGGTATAAATGAAGTTTTTCGTTACTGATGGTCAAGGTAATATTAAAGTCATAAATGGGTATAAATTAACTGTATCTGATTATCCTAAACGTAAAGCATATAATGAATGTTATCCTATGCAATTTGATGAAAATGGAAAAGCTGTTAAACAATACATTGGAGAAGGTGAAAATGGTCCAATTAATTCATACCGTCGTAATCCATATTCTTATTTCAATGAAGAATTAAATGCTATTGAAGAGGGACCGGATGGATTACCACAATATTCTAACCAGTTTGATGGTCAATATGCAAATTTGAGACCTGAAATTCCAGCTAAGAAATTCTTTAAAGTTGCTTTATTCGATCCAGTTTTCGCAAATGTTAAAGATGAACTTAAACAGCAATTCCAACCAATTATAGTAGCAAGAATTGCATCAGGTGCTTTATCTCAAGCATTCAAAGATTTAATTAAGAAACCATTATATCAGCAACGAGGTTTAACTTATGATTTAGTTAAGGAATCAGATAAAAGAAAATTTGAGAAATCAGATGATTATAAGAATGCAATTAATGAATATATTAGGTCTTATTAATTTCGATGAAAATGCTAAAAATCAACTTCATGAACAAATACAGGGAATAATAGATTCAAAAGTTCCAGCAAAATAAAAGTTTAAATATATTTTTTTTATTCGATTATAAATGAGAAGACGTTTCACTAGTCAAAAGAACACTAACGCAAAAGCAGAGATTACGGTTGGTTATAACGTAAATGATGATAAATCACGAATTATTCAAAATGTTAAAGTTAATGTTAGCCCTGAATTAACAAGGTCAGCAACTCAACCAAATTTATTAACTCGTGACTTACCGAAAAAGGAGGAGAATGAAGAAAACCATGAGAATGGAGACCCAATCATTTTATCTGAACCCGGTAAAGAACCCGTTGAAATTCCCACATATCCAACATACCCCCCACCTCTTTCATCAAACATCGAGAACCCAGGAATCTACGATTCCAGTCGCAATGCACCATATAAAATAGACATTAATTCTGAATTAATGAAAATTTACCGTGATATAATAACTGATAATTATGATTCAATAATAAATTTAATTGATCAATCCGGTTTAATTATTTTACCTTATGAATCATTAATTCACATTATTGCCATTCTTTGTGATGTTCAGGATTCAGACGTGAAGATTCAATTTTTCATAGATGATGAGGTTTCATGCTGCGGAACAGTTGCAAAAATAAATCCTATAAAGGATATTAGCACAATTAAGATATCAAAAATGGAACAACAACTGCAACTACATTTAACATATAATGATATTTATAATAAAATAGTTGATGAATATAAAATATCACTTGAAAAATTCTTTGTTAAGGCCATTTAATATTCAAGCATTAACATTATTGAATAATAATCCTTTGAATCATAATCAATAATAATTGACCTTTCACCAGTTTCTATCGTTTGTTTTATTTCTTTTTGTTCCCCACTATCTGGATCGGTCATTGTAATTGTTTTTGTTATAGTATCAGCTTTATCTTTAACTTCAATCTTTTTTCCATCGGGATATTTAAACCAAAATTCCAAAAATTCGATATTGTCAATCTGTTCATATTTTAATCTATCAATTACATTTTTAATACCATCTGAAAATCTTATGAAATGGTCATTATATGGGTTTGATTGAACTAAATTTGAATGAAGTGAAATATAACCCGATGATGAATATGACATTGACTCATATTTTCTGAAAACACTAAAATTTATAACATGAATGAATTTCTTATTCGTTGAATTTATGAATTCTTGAGGTAATCTTATCCTAGTTTTATTTATCACTGGAAAATAACGCTTTACCATATTTTTAATCGTAATAAAAAAATGTCAATTATCAATATTATTTCGAATAATAGCTGTGAATTAAATTTAACAGTTAGCGGAATTTATAATGTTACTCTCGTTTCTGTGAGTGGTAAATTTAATCCCATTCTTTTAGACCCTTCAGATTATATATCATTTATTAAAGATGACCATGAAAAAACGTATGATATGTATATAAATAATGTGATAACGAAATGGGATATTAACACGATTTTAAGTTATTTCAATGAATCATTTATCGTATGGTATGAAGAAAATTTTAAATCAAAAACCTGATAAACTTTTTTGAACTTGATGAAATAAATAACCTTATTAAATTTCCGCTGAAAATTAAATTTTGTACTCCTCATCTTCGTTCATTGTTGGGGATATTAAATTTTGAAAAAGATGTTGGGGATGTTTTGTATTCTGACACTGGTTCCAATTTCATTTTAATCAAATGTGATAAAGTTAATACCCAATGAGATTTTCACATCAAACATTAGACCCTAACTCTTACCCATCAATACAAAACATTTTATCCATCAACTTAAACATATTTTCTTTATCATATCCGTTTCAATTATCTGGGAATTCATTTATTCTTCATTCAAAAGATTTATCAAATATTAAATTTAGAATAACTGACCTATTTGATTGTGATTTAGAATTCATGAATGAAATATTATGGCAATTTCAAATAGAAAAAATAGGTGATGAGATAACGGATTAAATATTTATTTTTAAATCATAATAAATGATTAAACAACAGCAACCACAACAACTTAAGGCACAGACCATTACATACGCCATATATGCATATAATTCAAAGACGGCAGAACAAACACAAAGGTTGAAATATGGAGATTTGGAGATAGTATTGAAAAATGACCATTTTGAATTCGTTTGCAAGGGTGGTGCAGTGATATCAAATATAAAAGAAATTTTATTTATGAATTCAAAAATTAAAGGAATAACGGATGATATAACATCAATTCCACCAGAAGAACAAAGATATTACGCATTAAATGCATTTCCCAAAGTTTTGAAGATTGGAAGATTTAATTTAAATGAGGAATTCATAAAAGGTTTCCTAAATGACATAATGAAGAAAGCAGATAAGGAATATGTGGATAGTGAGTTAATGAAGAAGGCAGATAAGGAATATGTGGATAGTGAGTTAATGAAGAAGGTAGATAAGGAATATGTTAATGAAAAAGATAATGAAATTATCGAAAGGGTTGAATGGTACCATGAACGGACATCGAAGATTTTAAAAACTAAAGCTGATACAGGATGGGTTTCAGAATGTTTAGACCTTAAAGCAGATAAAACTTATGTTAACGATGAGTTAGAGAAGAAAGCAAATAAAGAATATGTGAATGAAATATACCAAAGTTTGATAGGAACAACTAAAAATATTGAAACTATTGCTGGTGACTTTTCCGTCTATGAAGAAAATAAATATTTTAGAGGGCAATTGGTACATTCCTTAAAAAATGGTATGCGGTGTAAACTCATTCCGAAAAATAACAATGAAATGTATGTAAGTTATAAAAAGAATGATGACACACAAGTTAAAGTTCCATTAGACAACAACTGTTACTTAAACTTATATGGAGACGAACAAAAGAAATATTTAAGAGTTTATGAAATGACGGATATGACATTGTCTAACATAGCTCCAGCACCGTATTATTATGACTATGGTGTTGACGCACGTGTAGACCCAAAAAAGCAAACATTATATTTAGATTATTATAGATATAAAAGATATAATGCAATAGAAAAAACGAGAATAGTATATTATTATATAGATGACAAAAATAAATATTATAGTCAAGATTTTACATACCCTGAAAACATAAGATTATATTATAAAAAATATTCTGACACAAACCAGAAGAAACCCGAAATAGTTACACTATATTTTAAGTTCAAAAGAGACAATCCTATATTATCTCATATGTTTGATTTAATGAACCCAGTAGGTTCTATTTATACATCTATGGATGTGAGAGGTCCTCAAGCAATGTTTGGTGTTGGTGCATGGGAACAAATAGTCGACAGGTTTTTGTATTGTGCAAACTCTTCAAAGGAAACAGGGGGAAGTAAAACGATTACAGGTGAAAATTTACCTGCACACAGTCACTACATAGATTTAAGTACATCTCAAGCGGGTTGGCATAAGCATAGATATTGGGATTGGTCAGGAATGACAAAAGGTAAAGGATATGATGTTAAAGACAACGTTAAGTTTGCCATAAATTGTTACTGGAGTGACACTCAGGGAGAAGGAAACCATACACATCGCGTTTCAGGATATACACAAACAACGGGACAAAGTAAAGATTACATGCCACCATTTATGACTGTATTCGCATGGTATAGAGTTCAATGAATGTGCTTGACCCAAAGGTCTGGGCTTACCGAATGAACTAAATATATTTTTGTTCAAAGCTTCCACGAGAGAAAAGATTCCTCATTCGCTAAGGATTCCAAAAATGAAAAAATCATTGATTTCGGCTGAGAAAAACAGCAAAACCCTTCTTCCACGGGAACAAAGAAATAAAGAAGAAATAAAGAAGAAATAAAGTAAATTTTTTATTTATTCCCGTGGAAGATAGAGCACTTTTATGACACTTTTTATTCACGACAAACAAGACAAACAAAGAAAATAAGAAAATACGGCGCTGTCGCGGTTCGAACCACAGACCCTGACCCCTCCATAACACTACCTTAGACCACTGTGCTACGTAGCCTGTCGACATAAGATTTTATAAATTGCATATTTGACGTAAATTTATTTCCCAGTTATTCAAAAATAATTAATTATTGAATAACCTAAAAACATTAACGATAAAATAAGTGATAACAAATTTTTATTTTTATCATAAATGAATACCCCACAAGCTCAAAATTTACCACGAATCATAACAAGGGAGGAAATGATAAAAATGATGCAAGAACATGTTAAAAATAACAAACCACTAAAATTGAGAAAATGTGGTTATGCAGTAATGATGGAAAGAGAGATGTTGTCGAAGAGGAATAAAAATTAAATTTGGATTGAGTTTAAAAATTCATCTTTATTAAATTCATCTCTTCCAATCAATTTATTTATTCTATTAAATTCTTTTATTTTTGCTTCACTCAGTTTAATGATTGAACGGTAAGTTTCTAATTTTTCGATTATTTCTTTATCGTTTTCAACCCCACTGCATTGCGACTTCTTTTTGTAATAGCATATTTTTGATTTAATTCTGTTTAGTTTCTTTTTATATTCATTGTCTGGACTCTTGACTGCTTTGTTGTCACTCATTTTCTTACGAAATAAAAAAATTAAATATTATTTAAATATAATGGAGTAATAAAATAAATCGGAATTTCTATTAATTTATTGTTAACCTCAACTAATGCATTACCGTTAATATATCTAACAAATTCAGCTATTGTGTCAAATCTTCGTCTTCTTTTTGTCATTGATTTATCAGTTTTTCCATAATCGAGATGAATCAAAACTTTATTTCCTTGTTTAAAATTCATGAGCCCCGAATTAATTTGTTCACGTTTAACATCATTTAACTTTCCATTTGCTTTCTAATATATTCCCATTCTTTTGAAATATCATTTTTCATTTCCACCGGTTTCATGTTTATTGTTCTATGCCATGTATTATTGTAATAATATACTAACTGTTGTATGATGGAGTCATGATTTCCATCCCAGTATATCTGACCGTTAACCCCTAACGCATCTCTAAGAGTTCTCATTACCGCATCAACTATTTTATTATGAAACGTATATGGAGAGGATGAAAAGTAAAAATTAATTTGTGGGAAATAATGAGCCATAGCTGCCTGAAATCCTTTATCACCATCACCCCTTATATTATCTACTCTTTCATGATCTAGTAAGTATTGTATAGCTCTTCTTGTTTCCTGTTCTGTTTTCCTTTTCACCGGAATGCAATATAAATATCTGGTGTTAATGTTAATGGCAAATAAATAAGTAACGTTTCCTTTTGAATATTCCAGATGATCGATTTCGTATGAATATGGATATGGAGCAAATGAAGGTCGACTAAATTTTTCCTTTAACGGTTGAATTTTTGGGTCAATTGGTTTATTTAATATCTTGAAATCCTTTTTAAAATCTTTTTGCTTCTTTAATGTTTGAAATGGATATAATAAAGTGAATGATGAAGGATTAACTGAAGGAGGAGGTACTGTCGTTGGAGGTTTTGGTGTTGTAAGTGGTTTAATTTTATCTGCTTTGATTTTGGAATTCATTCCTCCTTTCATTAATTCTGGATGTATTCTATTCATTTGTTTTAAATATGCTGTATATAAAGGTTTGATATACTTTCCCGCTTCGAGTTTATGTTGAAGGATGAATTCCAAAAGTTGATCTTCATTTAAAAGTCGGGCTGAATATGGTTTAACTAATGAATCATAAATTAAAGCTTGTGCATCATTTATGGTCTGAAGGACCTGGGCGTTTTGTACCATTTGTTTTTGTTCCTTTGGCTTTTGCGGCTCAGGATTATATAATTTATATAATTCATCAATATCTTCTTCTGTTAATACTTTATTTTTAAAATCTTTCAATTGTTTCAGTTGTGATTTAGTTTTTCCCTTTGTATATTCATTATTTTTAATTTTGTCTTTAATTTCAGAAATTATTTTATCATGATATTTCAAAATTTCATTTTTATAATACGAATAATAATAATCCATATCATCACCCGTTATATTTTTATTATATTTTTGGAGATATGCTTTTAAATCATAATAATCAAGAAAATTTTGATTAAATACTAAATCATCAATTAAAATTTTTAAATCTGTGTTATCCATTTATATAAAAATAAAATAAATGTTTTAAGGGTGCCCACCTCTTTGAATCATAGTACAAAACCATTATTAACGGTTCCTTTTGTCTCTTCTGTGGCATTTCATTAAATAAATGGCATACAACATCCATTTTCACAACATACAGCCTTAGTGTGTGCTCCTGTTAATGCAGTCTTACCAATTGTTAAGCGAGTCATTGACCCGTTTTTAAGTTGTAAATTAATATTCTGACCATCAAATATCACTTTATCATTTATTATATCCAAATAATTTTTAGGTGTTAATTGTTTATTTTGTCGTAAACTAACACCTTTCATTTTTTGTGCAATCTTTTTAAAATCACCTCCATCAATTGAACCGTTGAATGAAGTATAACACTTAGGGCATAAAGCAACCATGTTATCACCTTGTTTCTCAATTGCTAAACCCAATAACTTCTTCTCATGTGCTTTTTCTTCAGCTTTATTCTTTAATTTAGGTTTAAATTTCTCATCAAAACAGAAGAAATCAAAAGGTGCGAATTTGTAAATGTTTTTATCATAAAATTGTTTATCGGTTACAATTGCTTGAAATGCTTGAGTGTTAGGAAGATTTGGGTCGCCAGCGATTGCCCAATAAGATGAATCAGTATCACCTTCAATGAAATGAAAACGATTAACATTCATGCATTTATACATAAAATCATAAATGAAAACCAAATACCAGTATTTAGCATTATCTAAAGTGAAGAATGCCTCTTGTAAACATGTATCACATCTATAAAATCTATCTTTAAGCATCACTTGATACGTATCTTCACCTATTTCTCTTATGTTTTTAAACTTATTTGACATACATGCAACGCGTGCCTTCTGTGCATTCATTATTTTAGTCTTTGCGTAATTTTGTGTATTCATTGCATCGTAACCATATGATCCATTAAGTGAAATCTTGCAAAATAAACTTTTTCCTTTATTTCCTTCTAATTCAGCCTTTTGTCTTTCGTTCATAAATTCGTTCGCAAATTCATTAAAACAAGTGTTTTTAGTAAATGTTAAAATTGATTGAATGTCATCAATGATAAAATGAAATCTGTCTATTAGATACCAAAGATAATAAGAAGAAAATGGTTGATATTGGTTGTGTGTTGATGCTAACTGAGTTAATTTTCTCTGTTTCTGGTCAACTGGTAGATTGTTTGATTTCATGTAATTATACATAAAACTGCCAATTGTTTTTTCATCTGTGATAATATCTAAGTTTCTTATTATCGGTAAAAAGTTTATGTAATCATTAATGTATTTTTCATCAATGTGACCCTTTACTTCAGCCACGAATAAAGTATTTTTCTTTCTAATTATTCCCAATGCTTTTGCTTTCTTTGTTGCTGTATCACAAATGATAACACCATTCAATCTTCCCGGCATATACATTTTATGGTTAGTATATTGAATGAAATCATGAGGATTAGATGAAAATGATGAAGGATATAATGAATTAAAGTCAACTCCAACAAAATGAGTCATAATGTTGGTGGTGTCCTCATTTGATACAGTTTTAGTTTCTGGACTATATGAAAGTTTATTAATGTGCGTGATTCCTTTAAGATTAACACGATGTTGAACATTTGATAGACCACCAGTAATTCCATTACGGAGAATGTGATAAGCTTCAACTGAATCTAAAGTCATTGGTAAATTATTTTTTAATGCATAATTTCTTAAATTGATTCTTAAACGTTGAACATCTCATCTTTATTTGATTTTACGACATTGCAATAACAACACATTAACTGACAATTTTCTTTGGTATGTGGTTTTTCATTATCGATTCTATCTAATGTTGGTTTATTTGCATATGTAAACGCTTTACCACACATTTTGCATTTAGATGAAAGGATTAAATCGTGATAGTATTGAAAATCATCCATTGAAACATTATTTTTAGTATCTCTTTCTGCTTTTTCATCTTGTTTCTTATATGCTTCAATTTTATATTTCCAATACTTTTTCGTTAATTCAAAACTTGATTCCACATTTTCTTCTTCTGGATATTTTTCGTTAGGATTAAAGTCTTTATATGCTAAAGCGTAACGAATCATTGATGCATTCGATGATAAAGAAAGATTATGAAGCATGTCAATTTTATAAACAAATGTTTCTTCGATAATTTTATCAATTGGGTCAATCATAATTTCAACATCTTTATTGCAATAATGAATAAAATATTCTAATCTATTCTTAAAATTTTTAGCATCATTGAGATATATTTGATAATCACTATCTGATATAGTTTCTTGAGTTAATGCTGAATAAAATGAATCTTGAGTGAATGGTTCCTCTTTATATAATTCTTCTTCGTAATTTTCCCATGTGATGAATTGATAAGGGAAAAAGGATTTAACACGTGATTTATTGTTTCCGAAATCTTGAGTGAATTGGTCTAATGTCCCACCCGCTATATAATTTCTGATGTCAATAAATCTCAATTCATATGGAACGTTTGTTTTCTTTACAATGATTTGCTTAAATTGAGAAGATGAACCCAGCATTGATTTTATTTTCCATTTTGCAGTGTTTAAATCACGAAGAATTAAATTTAAATCAAACTTTCCCGAATTAAAACCAATGATATTCACTTTATTAAATTCTTCATCTAAAAGCTCTTCAAATGCTTCCTTTTGTTTCTCATTTAATGTTTGTGACTTCATTAATTCTTCATATTGTTCAATATTTGATTTAGCAACTAATGAACAGGTTGAAAATAAAAATTCAATCCAATCAGAAATAAAAGAATCACTTGAAGTTAAGCAAAAATTCCTCGTAAATGTTTTATCACGGTCTACGACCTCGCCGCTTCGGTCTGAAAGACCTTCAGGACTCAAAGAGTCCGTTTGCGGCTTTATTTTGACAGTTGATGAGACCATGAATGGTTTTAAGTAAGCATTCAAAGTTGCACATTCAGAAAGTTGAAGTTCTTCTTTAGTCTCTAATGTTTCGAAGTCAAAAGTAATATAATATCTTGTTGGTTTATAATATTCCTGCAAATTATGTGCTAATAGCCATTGATATATCTTCTGTTTCGTGATATGTGGTGCATATGGTTGTTGTGTGTTTTGCAATTGAACGTCTTGAATTAATCTTCCATTATTTTCTTTACATTTCTCACAATGTTTTAAAAATCTTCTTTGGTTTTTCCTTTCTGGATCATCACGGATAGAATATACTTCTTCTTTGCAAAAGGGGCAAACTCTATAGCCGGTGAGTGCTTCAACGTCTGTTATTCTGTCAGCGTGAAGTTTTCCACATGGACTCTGTGTTAATAAAATATTTACTGTTTCAAATTCTGGATCTATCATTATTGATTCCACTAATGGAAAGTCTACCTTGTTAATGTCTACGTCTTCTGGTTGAGGGTCACAATAATAAAAATCAATATTAACGTTTAACATTCTTGCTAACCTCTCACTTTCTGATGAAATGTCAAACCCTTCATATGCATCTATTGCTTCATTTAAATAACTTCTACGAGTTTTAGGATTAACACCATCAGGAATGTTATAGAAGCGTTTAAATAACCTTCTACCTTCTGCTCTAATTTGATTATCATTCATTTTAGCTGTTCCATTTTTGTTCATTTATGTAAGAATAAAAATTAAAAAAAATAAATAAAAATAAAGTTTATTTTTTTAAAGTCCGAGACTCAGAGAGTCCAGGGCTAAAGTCCATAAAATGAATTAAGAACACATAAATTTTTATCATCTGCGACGTGACGAATACATTTTAATTTACTCAAGAATGCGTACCCTGATACATTAAATCTAATTCCTGTCTTATTTAATTTCACAACTTTGAAAAGGAATGTATGAATAGCTATAAAATGATGAGATGATGTTTTATGGGTTGCTTCCATTTTTTCTGAAATAAATGAATAAATATAATGTTTATAAGTTTTCATATCTTTTATGTTCTTAATAACGAATGGTATAGACTTTCAACTTCGTCTTCCTTCGGTGCTGTTCTTTCATATGAAACATTATTGGTATCTTCAATAATGAAACCACAATCGCATAAAATTTTATATGTACCAATTGTTTCTTTTGATATTTTATCTAACAAATCAAAAACTTTATCAACACCTGTACATTTATTTAAATAATAATTTGTGTAAATATCATGGTCTTCTTTCTTAATCGTATTTGTTGCATATGTTACATTTTTCAGTGCTTTTTTGAATTTTTCAGAATCAAGAGGAGGTGAAAGTAGGATACAGGGGTATTCTTCATTATCAATAAATTGTAACTTATGTTTACGAATAAATTTAGTACCTTCTTCTGAAAGTGTTTCATCTATTTCACCATCTAATAAATTTTGTGTTGATTCTGAGACATAATTTTTATATCTTTCTTCATGAGATTTTTGAACTGCTGATTCTGAAGCTGGGATATTCATTAAACCCTCTACTTCATTTTCATTATATTTTTCAACTTCTCTTAATTCCTTAATTTTTTCATCTATTTCATCTCTTATTTTTTCCAGTCTTTCAATTTCATCATATTCATCATCTTTAATCCGTTCTTCATAATATTCAGGGAAAACATCAGGTTCTTTAGGTTTTTCTTCTTCAGATGTGGGATATAAGAAATTTATAACATCATCTTTATTCATTTTTCCATCATAATCTAAATCATTTAAAAACTCCGCGAATTTTTGACAATTTCTTAAATAATATTTACTAACCTCATAACCTGCCTCCTCTAATATATCCTTTATTTCCTCATTTGTGAATCCCAATTTTTTAACGTTGTTAGTTGTGACACTCATTTTCATACAAATTAAAAAATAAATTATTCAAAAATGTAAGACATGAATTTTTAAAGTTTATTTTTTTTATTTTTATTTTTTTATTTCATTATGTATGGGTTTAGTGTAAATGTCTTACAATTTTGAAAATTTTTTAAATCTTGATTTATTCAAAAACGTAAGAATAAAAACCGTAAGAATCATACATTTTTTACTTCATATGTTAAAAAAAATGATACAAAATCGCTCGATATTGTATGAATTCTTACGTTTACAAAAAAAGTCACAAAACCCTTCAACATATACTACTCTTGATAAATTCAAAAATGTTTTATCCTTAGCTGAGTCTAATATATGAGCGTGGGAAACTAAACTGATCTATGTTTGTTCGGAAGAAATATATGGAAAATTCTTTCTATAAATTAGAAATCGCATTCTCCTATAATTTTGCCATAGTTAATAATTATTGCCTTATAGCACTAAATGAAAGTATATAAGATATTGTCATTTTTTTATTGTGCAGTTTTGAAGGATGATACCACCTGACCAAAGTGATAAACTTCCATATGGTTTCGTCCCTGTAAAGCGTGCAAAGAAAGATGTTTTTATTAAATCAAGCGTAGATGATAAGCAAGTTAAATATATTCACGATGTTTTTACAGAAGAAAAAGAAAGAGGCGCTAGAAACTTCACAGACTCTAGATCCATGACTTGGAGTTGGAAAGAAGATACATTTCAAAAGTTTCGTGATAAAATTGGCGGTTCTTCAATAAAAATCATCGATCCAGATGAGCAGAGGACAAAATACGATGAATTTGAGAGACCATCCAACAGGCCACGCAAAGCACAATCCAAATCAAACAAAGAAATGAATCCACGTGAAATTCGACTTTGGAGGAATGACAATCAAGTTAATTTCAGAGCTAAGTTTAAAGTTTCTACGCCTCCAATGATAGAATGGGGTTCGCCTTTACAACCAGAATTAGTTTCAGAATTACGAGAACAAAATTTTGCAAAACCTCTTGTCATTCAGGCGGCATCCATACCATTATCCATAGACAGCTACGATATCATAGGACTTTCTCAACCAGGTACTGGTAAAACATTAGCCTACGTTATTCCTTTGTTGTATTATATTTTAGAATACAAGAAAAATCATCCAGAAACCAATAATTTTTCAATTCCACTGTCGGTAGTTCTTGTTCCTACCCATGAATTAGCAGTACAAGTCCAAGAAGTCATAGATAAACTCGGAATTAATCTTGGAATCAAATCACGAACATTAACAGGCAGTTTCAGACTTAACGACCAAGCATTAGAGCTTTCTCATGAGAACCATGTCATTGTTGCTACTCCAGGACGCCTAAAAGACGCGATAGAAGCACATTTAGTTTCAGTTAAAAAAGTTTTCTTTATTGTGATGGATGAAGCCGATAAAATGGTTGATAAATCATTGGGACCACAGATCTCATTCATTCTAAACGAGTGTCCAAAAGAGAAGCACTTAATGATGTTCTCAGCGACAATGCCACACGAAGTTCTTTCAATTGTTGAAGAATTTTTCACAAAAGTCGTCACTGTTTCTGTTGGCGAAATCGGCGGCGCTAGTGAGAATATCAAACAAGTTGTACATTATTGCAGACAAGCAGATAGACTTGGACTCTTATTGAAGTCATTAAGAGGTATGAAAGCTCCAATAATTGTTTTCACAAATACAAGAGATAGTTGTGAAAAAAGTGCCATGGAAATACAAAATAATGGCTTCAGATCAGCATTTATACATGGTGGAAAGTCCCAGAAAGAGCGAGATAGCATTGTTGAAGGAATCCAGAACAATCTTTTCGATGTTTTAGTTGCAACAGATGTAATTTCTCGTGGTATCGATATTCCTAACGTAGAAAATGTTGTTAACTTGGAATTGCCAAGGAATATACATACTTACGTGCATAGGATAGGAAGAACTGGTAGAAATGGAAAGGAAGGCATTGCAACAAGCTTTGTTACTAAAGATGACAAAGAAATTATGTATGATTTGGCAGCAATGCTGAGAAGAGGCAATTTCGCAATACCTGATGAAATGGCAAGAGATCCATCATCCCAACATAGAGTAGAACCAACTGAAAACGAACATTTCGATCAATAATTTTCCTTATTTTTATTTTTGTTTGTTATATTAGTAAATAATCTGCTTTGCTTTCATTAAGCATTTGCTGATGTAACTAAAAATCCATCTATTACATTCTCATACTTAATGAAACGTTTCGATTTCGAATAAATGATATAAATTAACTGCATCCAAAGTGTAAAATATTCACCTTCGGAATATGATTTCAAAGCAAGGTGTTCTTGGGGAAATAAAGTCATATGATAAACGATAGTGTTTGTTTGGCCGCATAAAGGCAAAAGAAAAATAATGATTCTTTTCTTTATCTTTGCCTTGCTTGTCGGCTCAGCCGGCCCTCAAAAACCTGACAATGAGAAGACAAACTTCGAAGACTATGAAAAATTAAAGAAGGAAGGTGATAAATGTCCAGATACAACATGCCCAAAGGAAAAACCTCAACCAAAATACTGGGATCCTGCTGAAGAATTCACTTTGTGACATTTCACAAGCAACATCAAATATTTAGTGTAAACATTTTTATTTTTATCATTTCATACTTCTTAAAAAGCCATCTGCTTGCTAAGTATCATACTACCCTTCATATACGATTCTACGAGCCCGCCTTTAGATATTTTTACTTATTGTTCTATATTTCTTATTATATAACTATCTCTATAGAGGAGTTTAGGCAACCTAATCAATACGATATGTCAAACCATTATATTATTTCAAAATAAATTTATATAAAACATATTTTTCAATAAAATTTATCAAATGATATGAGATAATATTGCTAAATCCTGAGATTTTATGCTTTGCTAGAAAACTATGATAAATTCATTAGATATTTGAACATATATGAGACAACAGAAAATTTTGTTATTCTAGAAATAATTGAATTATTAAATTATAATGTGAAGATTCCAATACTCATTGTATGATAATTCGAGTTCTTTGTTCTCGGTGACGAACAGCCAACTTTGCTATCAAGCCAGTCAAATTTCAATAACAATTCTTTAGGAATAAGGGTTTCGTTTTGCTAAAATTGTCACTTTTATAGCATATTTGTTTTTGGATGTTTTGCGAAACCAAAAAAAAAAACTATGATATACAATGTGTGTGTAAAGAAAATACTTTATTTACTAGTTAAAAAATCATTTGGTATTGATCAAGTTATTTTTTCTGGATAAGATATTATATGGATAATTGGATAGAAAATACAATTATATAATCTTGTACCTGGTTTAATTAAGCTAATTGTCATCAGAAACTTGTAATTTTTATGAATTTCAGATTTTCTTTTCATTACTGCTTTTCTTAATAGGTCAAGTTCTTATTTACGTTATAAAGTATGATATTTACAAATATCAAGTTATCATGTTTTTTGAGAAATTATGAGAAACAAACAAAAATGAAAAAGATAGGAATAGCAATGAATAGTGATGTGGGTATAGAAAATGTAAGAGATATGAATGCAAAGCAATCAGTATTTAGGATATTGACCATAGATTTCGAAAAAAAATGCTGCATATTGAGCGAAAACTATGATTATATTATAAGGCTGTCATTTAAAGCATAATGAAACTATTCCCTTTTCATTTTAATCGAATAAGATAGTAAAGATTTTTGAATTAGCTAGAAACTGATGAGATGTTTTCACAAATCAGATTTTTAATCTCTATAATGCATAATTCACTCAATATCTCAATTTTGATATTGCGAGATATTTTTGCTATCGGTTTCGCAATTTTGACACAATAGCAAGAGGGTTCTATAAGCATTATTATCAACGTAGAATCTGAATATCATATCAGAAAATGTCGCAAATCTGACATTTACCCGACCAAATAGCAAAAATAATTGAATACTTTTCGCAAAAACTTTAAAAATCGATAAAAATATGAAATATAGATATTAAAGAGACTTTTTATATAATATTCATAAAGATTTTCCAAAAATATGATACCGCAAAATTAAAAAAGTGACGTCTTGAGTGGAGTCAAAGGTCGAAATTGCTAGCTAAATGTTTTTTTAGCGAAATTGCGTATTGTACGTTTTTTTCGCAAAACGAAACCCTTATTAGGAAATCAAAATTACAATATATGGAAGAAGAATTAAAAATATTGTAAAAATTGTTGAAAGTGATGTAAAAAAAGTTTGTTGAAAATAATCCGAATTGTAGTTTTTCCAATAGGCTATATGAATATAGACATCTTTAATTCAATAACTAAAATGTATCTGAACAAAAATTAAATTCTCATCAAAAGTGATAATTGTCAGAAATATATTCACAATTTTTTCCCGATTGAAACGAATTGGGCATAATACTAGGATTACAAATATTAATTTGTCGTATTTCAATTAATTGAAACATCAGAAATATTTTTACTTTATAATAGAAATATTGAATTATGCATTATTAATATATATAATTTCTCAATTGAGCCATTAATTCTCAATTTTAAAATCTCTCAAAAATTTAGTTCAAAGTTTGGATTTTATAGCAATCTATTAATTTGTCCTTGCTATTTTAAAACGACGAAATTCTCAAAAGAGGTAGGGCAACGATAGAAAATTTTTGGAAAAAAAGTTCGGAGATCTTAAACGTATCATATTCCCTGCATGGTTTGGTATCTTCCGCCATGCGTTGTGCCAAACATATTGACACTTTCCAATAATTAATTTATGGTATGAGTCACAGAGTTAGATTATAAAAAGAAAGTAAATAATTGCAATTAGAAATCATATATGTCGGAAATCAAATGTTGATGAGCAGAAACCTTTTACTCATCATAAAAGAGATAAATCACTAAAGATTTGTATACATTAAAATTTGATATTTGGTGCTCGAAAACTGTCTGATGGGACTCCTCCAAAATGAACCAATCTATCGCTGAGGACCAAATTAGATGATGTGGATGGTGTATTCTCTAATTCTAACTTAGGAAGAATGGGAACAAAACGAATGACGACAACAACATGTCAAACATAGATTAAATATCTATGAATCAATAAAGTATACGTGCATTGAAGGTGATAACGATCACTTGAGGCTTATAACTCTTTGACTAAATTATGCAATAATTAAATATAATCATTTTTATATTTTATACTGATAGTAATTAATATACTATCCTGCTTAATAAATGGTATGATCAAATTTGTTTGAAAATTTAATTACGTATATGAAACTATGTCTTCTATATAAAAATCAAAATTTTCGGACGAACCTAGATTGAAGCTTTATGAAAATCTATCATTTTTGTTAATTGAGTTAATATGAATCTTTTACATATGTATATATAGCATTGATAGCTTATATAATCATGGTTTATTCCATATTAACATATTTTTTCAGTTAAATTTGTTAATAATATCATGTAACAAATTAATTCAAGATTAGAATGTCTACAAAATGCTAACAAATAAGAACAAAATACGATTTCTCGACTTAAATTTTAATATGGAGTAGTTTTTCGTTTAAATCTAATTAAAAATGAATAAAAACTTATCTTGTACTATTTTCATTCAAAGATTTTAATAATGTAAATCATGCATTTTCATAATTCAGTACAGTTCTTTTTAGAATTAAAGTTGATGAGGATGATATTTGTGATTTAAAATAATTTGTTAATGTTCACCTTTTATTCATCACCTTGTGGTATGCCCTAAAGCAATAGCATTATCAATTCTGCTGAATTGATCAACTCAAAATTCCAAAAAAAATTCAAAATTTCAAAAATGAAATTAAACAATTTGAATTTTCACATGAAAAAATCAATTTCGAAAAAAATTTGGAAAATCAAAGTATTTGATAATTAGTCAAATAATCAATTTACATCGTTTTTACTCATAAAAAACAACTAATTTTTGATTTTGATATCATATTGATAAATACTCATTCCAGAGTTGACGTAATGTATTAATTATTGTTAGAGATATTGCTTTCGCAGCAAAATTCTTATTTCATGAAAGAAAAAAAAATGATTTTATTCCAACAAAAACAAGTAAACAGATGAATGGAAACGTACTATATTTTCATAAATGTAGTAATCAGCGTGTCAGCTTTTGTTTATCATGTTCGAGTCAAAATGTATTAACTTGTAATAAGAAATATTCGAAGATTATATGAAGTATTGAGCATTCTTTGTAGAAATATTTGTAATTCATTACTAACATATATAATAAAGTTGTTTTTTTTTTCCTTATTGCAATAATTTTGTCTGATTTTAATAACTTTTCATGTATACGAGTTGTGTGAATATGCATCATAATATGCGTAAATATACTTATTTGCGACGAATAATGTGGTTGCATAATGGAGGTGCTAAATTTTGATTTTTAATATGGGGCTTTGGTATGTATAATCATGTTCTTATCTCAACGTAGGAGTATTGGTGCAATATGATTAAAATTTACGAGGTTGATCTTAAATTGAATAATTCTGGAGTATAAATCACAATGCAGCTAATTCTATGTTAAAGATAGATACAGATTGTAGTAATCAATTAGGGAGTACAAATTCATTCTTTCATTTCTGTCGTATTGAGCAGAAAGGAAGAGATCATAACCCTAGGAAAAAAAGCCCAAATTTGTCACTTTTCATAGTACGTTAAACTCAATTCGCTCGGCGAATGCCGAGCACACGTACTCATCATTCAACATAATATTCTCATTCTTTGGTTATTATAGTGCCAGACAACACAAGATTTCAAAGAATTACTTGAGTTTTCAATTAATCTTAATCCGATTTTAGATTTATCGAGAACTCCATCATCACAATCACATACTTCAGTGCGGTAACTACAATTATCCATATACAGAAGGAAGTTCTTTTCGAACAACTCATTTGGAGTCTGTTTTGGAAAGAACTTCTTTCTGTCCGACTTAATTTCATAGTTCCTGATCAACCAAAAGACAGAAACCACACACTATCTACTCAGGAAAGGAGTTCTTTCTAAATCTTCCTTAAATTGAGATTTTACGAGAGATAACCCTTCTATTGCACTTAAAAATGAACATTTTGATATCTTTAGTATCACACATGGTCATATATAGTATTTCATCTACATGAATACATTCATCTTTCGAAGTCTCTCATTAAATGGGAGGCTTCGAAAGATGAATCGTTTTATTCATACAACTTTAAATCTCGAACACATTTAGAGAGTGAGTATATCATTTTATTCTTGTTTTGAGTTTATTCTGATTCAAAATTGCAGTGAAAACAGAAGTTCACACATCATATCTGAATGTGAGCTCATCTATACTTATACGATCTCAATACCTCCACTCTAAGCATAAGAGGTGAAGTTATATAAAAATTATCAGATGCGTTGAAGTCTCAAAAGTATTGCCTGAATGCTTGTTTCATATTTGTCCAAGTAGTTTCAATGAATAAATGTATTGTTTTTTATAATTTCGATTTATTTTTAGAAAATATTCAATATAAACCTTTATTGTGTTATTTACATCTCATAAATTCTCTGTCTAAATCATATAAAAGCGCGTTTTACCCCTATGAATCAAGAAATTCATTCAATATTCATGGTATATTTATTAAATTTATACGATTTACTAATAATCAATATTATATCCTCATAAATAGCAATATATTTTGGTAATCTATGATAATCATATACAATATTTGAAATCAAATTTTCATTAGTTTAGGTTCCTTGTTAATAGTAAACCATTATATTTATTACTAATAATAAAATCTATGTGTCGTATTGAAATTCAATAAAATTACTTATTCGGTCCAAAAAAACAAATTTCTTTCTCGAACAAAATGAATATTTTTCATAAATCGCTAGCAAAACTCGTATTAATCATTATCACTATTTGATAATTAAGTGTCAAATTTTATTAAGGGTGGCTTCCGACCAAATTGTCACTTTTTAGCCCAAGTGAGAAAATTTCGTAATTTATAACCAAGTTTTTTAAAATCTATATTTAATAAAGATTCTATTTTTCTTATTAAATTTCAAAAATGAGGGGGTTCGGAATCGTCCACAAATTGCCAAAAGGGTTTTTGCCAGTTTTGAATCCGCTTATTTTTATCGACCAAAATTATAATAAATATAATTTTCGATAAGTATTCTACCCAAATGATTCTTCAAAAAATTATTTTTCGGATTTTATTCCGTAAAAAAACGTTACAGAAAACGCCTATAAAATTTCGAATTTTCCCTAAAAAATTCAGTGCAGGTCGATTTAAGAGATTTTTCAAAAATAATCATATCAGTAGATAGGGTATAATATAGAGAAGCTTTATGAATAACTTAAAATCCGGGAAACTCAATATTCAACGAGAAAAACGCTTAACGAATCTCACTTTTGGTGTAAACATCACAAAAAATTGAGAGGGCTTTCTGGTCGGAAGCCTCCCTTAAATAAAACCGTATAAATCAGAATTAATTAGTTTATGGATTTTAAGACATTCCAGCCATTTATTTACAACCAATATTTGTTCAAGAAAGTCATAGGCAGAGGCACATACTCCGTTGTGTTCGAAGTCGAGAGTATTCAATACTGCAAAACATTTGCAGCAAAAGTTACATCAGTCGATCCATCTCAGATCGTGTCGAGAGAAAAAGTCGTTGATACAGAATTGCGAGCTCTTATTTCATTGGATGATCCAGGTATTATTCGAATTTATAATTACTTTTTCATGGAAAATTGCTTAGTCATGATTCTTGAAAATTGTCCATCAGGAACATTACAGGAACTAGTTCAAACATTTCCATTATCAGAAAAGCGCGTATTCGACATCCTTTCCGTATTAGTTAAAACCGTAAGTTATTGTCACGCAAATTACGTTGCTCATCGCGATATTAAGCCATCAAATATATTCCTCGATGATTACGGCCGTCCAAAAATTGGAGATTTCGGTCTCTCCTCGATACTATCGGCGAAAGCAGTCGTTTCAGACAAATGCGGATCTACGATATTTGCTGCCCCGGAGATATTTTCTAACGCCCCATATAATCCTTTTGCTGCAGATGTCTTCGCTTTGGGAGTTACGTTTTATTTTTGCGTAACAGGAAGTTTGCCGTGGTCATCCGACGTCGTTTCGAAAGATGATATAGATCAGGTGTCATTTCCTTCGAGAGTTAATCCAAAATTGATATATTTGATACGTAATATGATTCAATACGAACCTAACCTTCGTCCTACCATGGATGAAGTCGCAAGGGACGAATACTTCATGGAAGGATTCGAGTCGTCAAAATTAGTGCCAAAAACAGTTCCTCATTCGGCTTCTATTACAGGAAGCTTAAATCAAGCCGGACAGAAAGATATACATCACCAATTACAAAAATTCCAAGGTTCCGTTTCAACTGTAAGCGCAAGACCAAGATTTCAAATATTACATCAGCGCAGACTCGCAAAACGCTGTAACTCTATGTTTGACAAAGATCTCCCGAATATATACGGTACAACTACTAATTTACCTAATATAATCAAATAATTATATTATTTATTTTCGTTTTTGTTGTATGTTTTTGTAAAAAATGTTTGTTGATTATGATAAACTTTCGATTTTTTAATAAGTTCTTTCTTCTTATTCGATTAATTAACTCAATTGAAGAAATTCCTCATTTATTCTAAAGTAATTACATTCTAGATAAGAAGAATTGAATGTATTTCTGAAATATAATATGTATAATCACGATGAGGCTAATTCTCTTAATAAAAAAATATTTTGCATAAGAGATAAACTCGTTCGATTAATAAAATCAAGCTTTTACAAACAAACATAAAAATATTAAATAAAAAATATAAGTTATAAACGAATACCGTATGTTTCTAATTTGGATTTTAATAATTCAAATCCATTCTCAAACTCTGCCTGCATTACTTCATTTTCTGGTGTCAGCTTACAATTTTTGTTTACGAACTTCAAACCTTTCTCTATTGAAATTAGTAAATTAGTTAATTCTTTAACTAATTTCTGTTTCTTTGGGTTATCTATGTTCATAAACAGCTCTGCAACCTTTTCTGGACCTTCTGAACGATTCTCACATAAAATACTTCTGAGTTTTTGTTCGATTTTTTGAAGATTTTTGTTGGAAATTGAATTTTCCAGTTCTTCAGTTTTTTCTCTCAGTTTTTTATATGAAACTCTGATTGGCTCGTAATCAACATTTTTTGTGAGTTTCGGATCAACAAAAGACCTTCTCAAAACTGACGGCAAACAGTTTTCAACAGTTATTATTGTTCTCCTTATCCATTGTGTTTCAATCGATCCAACAAAGTTCGTTGAGCCAGGAACAAAAGGAGTATCATAATAAAATTGTGTATGATGATTAAAAATGTCACTTTTTTGTCTATTATTTCTTTTTGGTGTCAATTGAATTACATCTATAAATCCTACAGAAGATTCTCTTTTAGCAATTGACGCCTGGAACAAAGAAATCGGACAATTAAGCAACAAAGTATATTGTTCAATCAAAGTTCTCGCCAAAGAAAATACAGTTGTCAAACGATTCGAATGATAAACAAAAGATTTGTCTTTTTCTTCCCTGAAGGGATCTCCTATGAAATTTACCCTGAAATATTTTTCTGACATTTTATCGTCATCATTCAAAATTTGTTTGGAATAACCGTCAAACAAATCCGACAGAGTAAATATAGATTGTTTGCATTCACCCCAAGCTCTGGAATATTCAAGAAGCGGCAAAAGAAAATCAGCAAAAACAAAACTATAACTTTGCAAATTGTTTTCTTTGCAAAAATTAACAATTTGATTTAAAATTCCTTGTAATCCAAGCTGAGTGAAATCAACAGAAGAACAATAACATGGAACTTTTGGTAAATCATCACAAATCTCTTTTGAACATTCTAAATCTTTCGAAATATGACAAATGTTGTTAAAAAGTGACAAACAATGCAAAGTACCAAAAACATTTGGAATTTGGCCAAGTAAACAACCATATTCCAAAATTAAAGAACATTTCATGAAAAGTGAAGTGATGTATTCAATTTTGTTATCATTTTTCAAATTCTTTTCTGCGATTTCCGACAAAATTTGGAGCTGCATATCTGGACAATTTTTGAACAAAAACAATCTTTGAAGTAAAAGTTCACAGTTTTTGTCAAAACTATTTATATCCTCGAGTAAACAAAAACTGTTTTCCCTGAGTTTCCTGTAAAGTGAAGTGAAGTCAATTAACGATATATTTTTCGATTTCGTAGACATAACTTCGAAAAACAAAATAATTTTTGGATCAATGAAATCTTCAATTGATAAAAGTGACAAAGCTCTCATTGCTGTCACTTTTGCTCTATTAGTTGATGAAGATTTTTCGTCATCCATTTCGAAAAGTAAAACAAACGGCATAGACAAATATCCGGCTTTTTCATCGTTCATGTCACTTTTTATGACAATTTTTAACAATGAAAACAAAATTTTTGCCAAAGGCGGCAAATTAATGAAGAAAATTTGAGGAGAATAAGTTGTAATTATTGAAGAAAATACATTTGCAAATAATGGCAAATTGATTTCCAATATTTCTTTTGTCATCAAATGATAAAACAAATTGGAAATCTCTTCTGTTTTGTCTTTTGGTTTAACAGTATTCAAATTAAGAATAAACTCTAATATTCCTTTTTGTATTTTCTTTGTGTTCTGTTTTTGACGGTTATTTTTCAATAAAAAGTGACAAACGTTGATAAACAGTGAATAATTATTATTCTTCAATGAATTACTAGATGATTTCGATATCAAGTAATACAACAAACTCAAGATATTGTCTTCCTTTTGCAAAGTATTTAAATTGACCATGTTCAGAGATTCAATTAAAATAGAAGCGATTTGGACACTGATGTTTTTCTGGTAATTTGAAAAACAGTTAACTAACAAAATAGAAATTGTCTGTAAAATCTCTGAATAATTGCTAAAACCGCTCAAACCGTTTGTCAAAGTTTTCAAGAATAATTTTCTGTAACTTCCGCTGTTCAATATCAGTTCACAGAATATCAATGGCTGTACAGAAATCTCCAAGAAAGATTTGAAAATTTCAACATCAATTTTGTCACTTTTTGTTAAATTTTTCATAGCTGTAGAGAACAAAAAAGCTGATTGTTCGCTAAAACCGAGATCAAATAGGCATAATCCGAAAACAGCAAGAGAATTCAAAGGATGCCAGTCAGTTTTCGATTTCATGTTCATTGAACATTCACAAAACCGTTGACATAAAGTGTCAAAACCATAAAAATTAATTGTTTCAGAAGTTGCGAGAGATTTTGCAATCAACATGAAAATGAAGTCGACAAAAAGTGAAATGGACGATAGAGGTTGTTCGGCCAAATAATCATTCATTGATGAAATCAATTTCAAGTACAAAGAAGACATTGCTTTCTCTATTGGATCCAAATTTGTTTTGATAATATTTAATTTGTCAATTTTTAATTGATCAGTACTATTCGAATTGTCTGAGAAATATATTTTCTCGTTCGTGCCTCTTAATGGTTTTCTGTCATGTAAAGCAAAATAACGTACAAAAATTGTCAAATATTTTTGTAAAGACATTTCTGACAAAATTTTTGACACTGAATTTTGAATCAAAAATAAAGTGTCGAAATTAAAATTATCATTCATTGACTCGATGGAATTCACAAACATTTCCAAAATTTCCATCAAATTGGTTACAATAATCGGAGGTGGCACTTTTATCAAATTTTGTAAATTTTTCTTTTCTTTCAAGTTAGTGAATTGCAAACTATCAGTGACGAATGTACTTCTAAGGAAAATGGATATCGATAAATGTGAAATGAGGTCGTAACCACCATCAATGTTGATTGGAACCTCAATTTTTTCGCCAGATAAGAAAATTTTTCCATCTTCTTTGACTAAATTTACAAAACCGTTTCCGATAGGGCTGAATGTATCCTTATTGTCCTTCACGTGTATGTGGATGACTTCAAAACAGAGCTGAAGAGTCGGAGGAATGGGAAGTGGCAAATTTATTGTAAAAGTGTCATTGAAATTTGGTTTTTCATTGTGGTAAGCAATAGAACTGAACGCGACATATGACAACTGACTTGCAGTGAACAAGGAATAGATACCTTTGACTGTTGATGAGTTCGGAGAGTTCCTCAGGGACATCATTATCTGGTTATTCTTATGCTTAACATTTGAGTTATCTTTGAGGGTAATACTGTTCAATCTGACTGATATCTGATGTATTGGTGATAGAAATGGCTGTGGATGAGGAGAAAATCTTGGTCTGATAATTAAATTTGAAGAATCACTAGTAGTAAACCTCATATTTATGTTTAGTTGCCTCTGACTCTTGGGTTGTGGTATAAATATCGTGTCATAAATGCTTTGTTCTACAATTGGCTTTTCAATTACAAAAAAGTTCTGTAGTAAGATGGGTGCTAACGATGTATTTATCTCTGACAGATCAAAATATGACCATGCAAATTGAGAAAATGCACTCTTGATACGTGGAAATGAGTTCGATAAAGATTTTTGTGCTGCTTGCTTAGAATTCTCTGATGGATTCTGATAATATCTTAGTATTGATGAGGAATTTTCAACACATAACGGATGTGATAAAATTACAATCAAAAATAATTTTTCATCGATTTGTTTTGGATCAACTTGAAATGATGCTGTATTGTTGTAAGATATAGCTATTCCACAATCGTTCATCATTTTTTCGGCTTCTGGAAAAGAAAAATACCAAAAATCTGAAACAATTCTTTGATGATGAGCAGAATATAAAAATGCAGTACATAATATCGGTTCTATAAGCTGAAAGGAAAATGAGTATTCGGCTAATTTTAACGTGAGTAACTTTAAGTAACCTAAAGAGTCATTTGTTGGAAAGTTTTTCAATTCTGAGAAGAATGAACTTGAATTCTTTAAACAGTATGGTGTTCCCGATGATTTATATGCTGCAATTTCGTTGAATTTAAATTCTTTTTCGAAATTATTGATACTACTTGCTTTTTCAATATATTTGGGAGTAGGAATAGATGGAACTTCGATATCTAACTCTAATCCGGGCGAACTTATCATTGATGTAAAATGATCATTCTCAAATCTTCCATTAAACATCGAATTAAAATCTGGTGGAAGATAAGGATTGTTCGATTCGGTTTTCAGTTTTAATGTGGGACTTGCCCAATGAATCGATTCATCTGATCTTAATCTGGCTACATCATTAGCAATTGATTGATTCATTGGTAAAAATGTAAAAAAAAATTGACATCACTTCACAAATTTGAGATGCTTTGAATTGGGGGTAATTCGATCGAAAATTTTATATGTCACAAAGATATTTTTAACAACAGAGGGTCATGCCATGCAGGAATCATGGTGATAACTCCTGGCTAGATCTTTTTATTTTGGATTAATTTGATGAGAATTGCCATAAATATGCATTGGTTAAACCAGGAACTATCTTCCTATTTTGTGCCGCTAGGAATGTTGTATCACCCTGGCGAAAGGGTAATTGGACTATTTTTAGTGAATAATTGCCGTATACAAAAAAAAAATCCAAGTTATGATTTATCTGCCAAGCAATTGTTAGTATGTATTATAGTTTAGGCTTTAGTTCCTACAATTTACTATCCTAGATCTAAAATATGATGTTGAAATATATGTTTTCAGACTTCGGATTGATAAGGATACACAAGAAACTGATTAGAAAAGCTATTTTCTATTGAAAAATACTCTGAAATTAGCAAATAAGTTTTAAATCAAATAATATAATTTTTAAGAATAAAAATGATAGATGGTATAATGTCACTACGTAGTATGATACAGCTTATCCGATTTCAGAGCTAAGTTTGAAATCTTGTAAGATTTTTGGATCCGGGCGTCTGATTCTTTTGATAAGATCTTTGTATTGTGTTCTCAAAGCATTGTCCCGTTTACTTAGTTCATTATAGCGAGTTTGACTAACTTTTCTAATTCTCTCGTTACCTGCACCGGTAAGTTTGATGTTAAATATTTCTGTTGTGCATAATTCAAGATCTTGCTTAATAATAAGGCGGCATGAGTTCTCTTCGTCAGGAATTAAGCGAGCATTATATCCATTTTCTTCGATATCTTCGTTAATCTGGCCAAGAACCTCTCGTAATATATTTGGGAAGTCATTAAAGTCGATATCTAATTCTTGCTCGGATTTGAAAGTCTCGAAATCTTCTTTTGACATTTCGCCTTCATATAAGAAGCTAAGAACATCCTTTGAATATAATTGAATCTTAATTGCGTCGACTTCGTCATCCGTTTGTTTAAGATAAACAACGATTGAGAAATTTGTAAATTCTTCTCCAGGTTCATCTTTTTCCACTTCTTCAGGAGAAGCATCGAGTCTGTTTTCTATTGGTACATCTTGGTCAAAAAATATTTCAAACTCTCCTTCGGCTTCACCAGAAACACTCATTCAGATATTTTTGAATTTTTTTTACTTCACTTCTGACGCCAAATGCGTGATCAAAGTTGATTCTGATTGAAACTAACAGATATTTAATAACTATTGTTGAGAATTAGTGATTAGATTCGAATGTTTTCCATTTAGAAACAAAATTGGTTGATTTTCAATTTCAAATTATAGAAGAATAGATACTTTAATTGATGAATATTACTATTTTTCGGCTTTAATCTGAGTGCACTTCGTAATCAATGTATAGCATATGTATTTATCATACAAATATGTAACAATTGTCTCATTATGATCTTTTAACTGTGCTGGAAGATGATAATGAATAAGTATAATTGGCAAATAGTAAAATTCATATAAACTTGCTTAAAAATCTTGCTTTTGAAGAATATTGTGATAGAAAAACCCTGAAAATTGAATTTTTATGCATCGAGGATTCATCAGTAAGTATTGGAAATGTGAATTATAATGCTCTCTTTGATAACCTTCCCATTTCTTAAATTTCGTATCTAAAAAGTGACAGAATGGGGATTTTATTTAGTTTGTGTAAGCGGGACTCCCCTGATGCTCTTCAAGCAGATCCACGTGCTGCATTAAGAGCCGGAGGGAGAATTAAAATTGAGAAAAATGTAACAGAAGATCCACATGCACCTTTATTGACAAAAACTTCAAATTCTCTATTAGAAAAAGACACTCAAAATCTAGATAAAGACTTAGATGCTCTTGTCGATGAACTATCTGATAGTGCTGAAATCGGAGATGATGATAATGATCTTTTTGATGCTGTTGCTGAAGATGATGAAGAACAAGACGTTAAGCGCGATTAATTGTTAGTTATGTTTTTTATAATTATACTAAAGTTTCTGTTAATTATTTCAAAATATAAAATTATTCTTTTATACAAAACAATGAATTTTAGTGTAATAACAAAATACATAAATCAATTCTATTTTTCATAGAAACAAATCAGATAAAAATCAAATACAAAATAAAATATTATAATTTGAGCTCTCCGTTTGCTAGTTTGGACTCAAAAATCTTCATGCAGTATAATGATACTGATTCTGTAGCGCATTTCATTGCTTCTTTAAATTTTGATACTTTCAAAGTAATTACTTCGTCTTCTTCTGCGCCAGTACTCATATTATCGAATTTCATGATGTTTTCTTTTGTTTCTTCTTTGTAGTATAAATAATATTTTGAATTATCATCGCATAATTCAGGAATTGTAAAATTAAAATCAGACAACTCTATCATTTCATCATCTTTTGCAGTTATATGAACTTCTTCTTCGAGCTCTCTTATTGCACATTCTATAAATGCATTTGAATCATCAAGCATTCCTGCAGGAATTTCAAGTGAGAAAGTCCCACTACCTATTCTTGGCTGACTAACAAGTATAGTATATAATTCATTATCGTCTTTGCATTTAAAAATAACTAAAATATAAACAGCTCTGCCTATTAAGAAAATCCTTTCATGATATTTTTCGTTTTTGTATAAGTAGTCGACTTCTAAATTTATTATACCAATTCGTGGTCCAAAATAATCTATTTGAATAACATTTGCATCTAAAAGCTCAAATGGTGGTTTGATTCGACTTAGCCAATCAGGTATAAGTCTACTTTTGCTCAGTTTCTCTTGATCAACTTCGCATGAAAACCTTACTTTTTCCATTGACAGTAAGAAAAGTGATTACAAAAACCTGATAATAAATATAGGCATATGAATCAAGTTTTTAATGACGCTCAAATATTCACCCTGCAAACTTAAAATCTTGTTATAATGATCATAATATAAATAGAAAAAACTCATATGTATGCTACCTATTGCTCGCATAACTTATACTAACTCTCATATTAGAAATTAAAAAAAAGTGAGATAATTATTCAATTTATATTATGATAATATTTATTCTTCCACAATATCTTCTTCTTCAGAATTATCTTCATCTACATCATATACATCTTCATATACATCAGAATCATCTTCATCTACATCAGCAGTTTCATACAATTCGCATTGGCTGGATAAATCCTTAATATCATATCTGCAATCATCAAAAACATAAAGATCAAATTCATCATTTTTCATGTAATGCTGAACATAAGCTCCCTTATCAAACATTTTAGAATAATTCTGATCGATTCTATTAAAAATTTCTTTAACAGCAGTTGAATTACCTATAAATGTACCAGAAATGTTACACCCTGGATGAGGAACATTGCATTCAACAGTTTGAATGTTAGAAGGAATCCAACTACAAAAATAGGATGAATTTATGGATGGAATGTTGTTCATTTGTTCTTCAACTTCTCTTGATGAAAATCTTCCTCTAAAAATAGCAGATGCCGACAAATAAATACCTTTCTTGCAATTACAAGAAACAAGAATATTTTTGGTATTAAAAAGATCTGTTGTAATTGATGGAATTGTTTGTTTAACTCCTTCAGGAGTTAAAGGGGCAACGCTGCTAACGAAGTAATGCATACGATAAAATGGGGTAAGATTTGTTGCCAATTTTCGCATATCTGAATTTAGCATGCCTGGAAAACGCATTGATGAAGTAATTCCTGAAATTGATTTCGATATCAAACTGTTAAGATCGCTGTATGTAGGTTTCGTAATATTCATTGATCTGAAGCATATGTCGGTTAATGCCTCGTTATCAAAATAGACAGTAAGAATTGAACTTTCGGAAATATAATGATGAGATAATATGAAATTATATAGCTCTAAAACGTTCCCACTTACAGAGGGACTTGGTATTAAGCAGTAATTAGCGGTAATTTTATCTTGGAAGTCATTTGAGATAATAGATTGGAAATTTGTTGACAAACCTGATCCAGTTCCGCCGCAAAGAGAGTGGATCATTTGAAAACCTTGCAAATTATCACATGATTCTGCTTCTTTCCTTACGACATCATAAATTTGAACTGCCAAATCATTGCCTTCTGAATAAAATGCTTTAGAAAAGCAGCCATCGCTACCTGAATTGTTACCAAAGTAACTGTCTGTCTTGAAAAGTTGGCCAAGCGTACTGGATTTCACATAATCAATTGAAGCTTAATTTAAGTCAGCAAATATGGCACGAGGAATATATCGCCCATTTGATTCCTCATTATAATAAACATGAAGATCTTGGAACTGAGAACTATAATCTGAATCAAATTTACCATCTGGTGAAATATGATGTTCTTTTGAGATATCTTCAAAAAAATTGCATCCAACATGATTTCCGAACGTTCCTACTTGAATGCTGATGATTTCTCTAACCATGATTTACAAAATAGTGAGGAAGGTGAAATGAAATTTTTTTAAAAAAAAACTTAAGTTGCAGCATTTTTATATGTTTCATCGGGATAAATCAATTGTTCGTGAACGATACGTAAATTGTTTTTTACGATATCTACCATTGAAATTCAGAAGATGGCAAATTATACAGAAAAATTCAGAAAATTTTGTTAAGTACTAGGTTTATATTTACAAGCATGACTGAGATTCAACATTGTAAAAAAAGTTTGGCAATTTTTATCAATTTCGGATTCATGAATGAAGAACTCATTCGCCATAATGAATACATTGCATTACATATCAATGAATACCTTAGTGATGCCAAGTTTTTTGATATCTTTGAAGATGAAGACGTCAAAGAAATACTAGAAGCAGGAAATCTCAAAATTGAAGACTACCTTGATCTTATTGAACAATCTCTAACAAGTGATAGAAAATATGGACTGTTATTTTATCTACTTAATGCAATTACCTCTATAAAAAATATTCATGATGCTAATTTAATTGTCAAAGTATTTGCAAATCATTTTAACTTAAGAATCTTAAATAGCATATCCAATGTATTAAATTAAGCTGAAAATATTGAAAATGAAAATTATTTACTCAGAAATGAGAACCATCAAATGAGATCTCACATATCTGAGCTTGAAGAAAAATTGTTTCCGTATGAATTCCCAGAAAAAATCAACAAATATTCAAACTCAAAAGACTTTGAAAGTATCTATAAATTTCTTGAAGAACTTTCAGCTAAAGAAGACCAAAACTATTTTAAGGCAGCCATTCGTGCAGGATTAGGTATGAAAATAGATACGAATGGAATTTTTCCTCTTCATAAAGCTTGCGAAAAAGGTAATTTCGGGCTCGTAAAATCCCTTCTTCAATGTGGGTGTCCCCCATTTTATGTTAATAATAATGGAGATTCAGGTTTAGTTTTTGCATCTGCTAATGGTCATCTTGATATTGTAAAATATCTTATATCTTATGGAGTCAATAAAGACATCAAAAACAAGCAGGGTATTTCTCCAATTAATTGTGCATCTGCATATGGTCAATTTGAAGTTGTTAAATACCTTCACTCTATTGGTGCGAATATAGAATCTCAAGACAATAACGGATCTACTCCTATTATTCTGGCCTCAGCTCATGGTCACCTTGAAATTGTTAAATACTTGATTTCTATTGGAGCAAACAAAGAAACAAAAGATAATTTTGGATGCACTCCAATAATAAGTGCATCTGCTCGTGGACATTCAAAAATAGTTGAGTTTCTCGTCTCTTCAGGAGCAAATATAGAAGAAAGAAGTAATCTAGGAGATACACCACTACTATTGTCATCATTTAAAGGTCATCTTGAAGTAGTTCGGATTCTTATCTCGAATGGATCTAATAAAGATGTGCAAGACAACAGTGGATGCACTCCTCTTTATTTGGCAGCTTCGAGTGGTCATTTCGAGATTGTTGAATTCCTGTGTTTGCATGGAGCAAATACAGATATAAAAAATAATAGTAATCTTACTCCACTAAGCATTGCTTTGAATCATGGTCACACTCAAATCGTCAATTATCTTAATCAACATCATTAAATGATATTTGTTTATGATTGAGTTTATAATTTGGAAGTTATTAAAGATTTGATTTCAATATTGAAAACTATCAAAAACATCTCTGAATAGATTGCATTTTCTTATTCCAATTGATGAAATAAGTCATATTCAAAAATATAATTAATCTGATTGGATTATGAGAATTTAATGTGAATATGGAGTATCCATATCGATATATGTCAATTAAGCGGCGAAATTTTACGAATTTTTTGAATTTATCAAAAGATATAGATTTTGATCTTCATTTTTAGTTAAACAGTACCTGTTTCATGTGAATATATTAAAATGATCATAAAATTACTCTGAAATACTTTAAAAATATTGCTTTTCCTTGATATGTTCTTAAATTAAATTGAATAGTTGTAAAGTTTCATGGCTTGACCTTTCAAATTTAATGCCTATCGAAGTTACTGACCCAGCCGCTTTCCGTGATATGGTCCGTATGCTCTCAACAAACGTTGATGGCCGCCGCCCACTCTACCTTGCTCTTACCAACATCTCCGGTATTGGCCGCAGATTCGCCTACGCCGTTGTTCGCCGCGCTGGCCTCGACCCACTCCGCCGTGCTGGTACACTCACACCAAAGGAGGAAGAACTCATCGTTTCTATCATCCAGAACCCAACAGAGCACCAGATCCCAGTTTGGATGCTCAACCGTCGTTTTGACCGCGCTACAGGTCAGAATACTCACTGGGTTGCTACAGACCTTGGTGCTAACATCCGTGCTGAAATCGAGCGCATGAAGAAGATGCGTATGAAACGTGGTATCCGCCATGGTCTTGGTCTTAAGGTCCGTGGTCAGTGCACAAAGTCTACAGGCCGCCGCGGTGGTGCTCTCGGTGTTGAGCGCAAGAAAGATTAAACTTTTTGGTGAATCAGTCTTCAATCTCAACGCTAATAAAGTTTCCCATTTAAAGATTACAATAAAATACTTAGATATTACTAAAATCATATACAATATTTATAATAAAATAAAATTTCATCAAAATTTTTGGGAAAAGAATCAAAAAAATATGCTAAAACATACATGAAGTTTTTAATTGATTATAACAAGAAAGTAATTCAATAAAAATCTAAAAAATTGAATAAAATTTGTGAAAATTACTCAAGTTTGAGATGATCCGCTGTTCCACACAAAACTTCATGGATAACGTAGAGCATTGGAATCATAACAAACACAATTGAGCAGAAGATCGAAGTATAAGCAGCTTTGTTCTCGATTTGATTGAATTTTCTGTATCCACGCTTTGCCAAGTATACAACCTTGTTCATCATGCCTGGTTCTGGTGGAATTTCGATTTCTTTATCGATATCAATCCAATCATAAGCGATTTTCATCATTTTTATTTGGCGGCGTTGCCTCTGAGCGAAGTCTTCGAGGTTCCAACGCTTAATAAGTGATTCATTGTGAGAAACAAGTAGATTTGTAACTAAAATATCATGATAAAACGACCAGACGTTGAAAGAGAAGCCTGTTATTCCAGGTAATGAGTAGTTGTATTCATGCGTAAACTTTGGATTTGGTATTTTGCGTGGAACCCACTTTCCTTTGTATTTTGGATTTTTAATCAGCGGAGGAGTCCATTTTCCTTTGTATTTCTTGTTCTTCATCATTGGCTGCTTCCATTTTCCGCATCCTATGCTGCATTTTGGATTTTTGATCATTCTGCGTTTGTATTTTCCGAAAACTGCTTCATTCCAGTTCTCTGGCTTTGGATCCTTTGGATCTGGTATCATTTCTGGTTCGTCCTCTCTCCATCCCATTGGTTTATCTTTATATCTTGGGTTTGGAACAAATTCTGGCTCGCTTTCGTTCCAATCATCAGGTTTCGTAGCATTTACATCAACAATGAACTCTTCATCAACCCAATCTGATGGTTTCTTGTCATTTGGATCGTCAATCATCTTTGGCTCGACAATTGGAATCTTAAAGGAATCTGTAAACGTTCCATTAAGGAATGACATCGCGTCGATCATGTATTCGAATGTATTGTCTGGGCGAATGATAAGTGTGTAGAGATGTGGGATTTCATCCACTGGAATATCAATAAATTTTTCGATTTTGTGTTTGTCTTCGTTACTGTTTATGTAGAAATTGAGAAGTGCCTTAGTCTTCTTCTCATTGTGCACTGGACCAAATTCTATGGTGCCATGTGTATCATTAGTTTGGTGATAAACATCAAAATCGTTAGTATGAATTCTAAGTGTTGTACGGAAGATATGATAGATAATTTGGGCTCTTACTTCATACTGAATGACAATTGTCTCATTCATCGGATAAATAGGTGCTGGCAATTTATAAGAAATTATACTCGATTTCTCTTTATCAACAGTAACTAAACCACGTTCCTTAGCACGTCCAACTACAGGATATGAAAGGTCATTTGACCATCTGCCTGAAAAATATAAGGATCGAGAAGGAATCCAGCGTTTCATGACGAATGGATCTGTAAAATTATCCCAAAATAGTGGCTCGCATGCAGGAAGTATAGGAAGACCATTTTCATCATATATTCTGGAAACCGATGCCTCTAGATTTGAAAAAACAAAAAACATTATATTGTAAACTATTCAAAATTTTGATTATGAATGTAATGACCGGCTATTTACCAAAACTAAGAAGGGAAAATACTTTTCTCGTATCATACATCATTAAAAAGCAATAAAAATTGTTTTACATTTGTGTAAGAGATGACGTACATTCCATTTTACTTCTTCTGAGTTCTCTCTACAGATTTGTCTATAATGTATGCATTCTTGACTTGTGTGATTATGGCAAAATCAATCATCACTAACAGAAAATGATTTTTTAAAAAATTCACGATTCGTTCATTAAAATATCTTAAATTCTCCATTAAATCATTATATAATTCATTAAAATAAATGATAACGGCAATTATTTGCTTAATTGTTAGATATTGAAAGATTTTTTCTCTGAATTCTCGAATGATTTGGAATTATATATTCAAAAAATGAATTACACATAAAATACAATTGTTCTAGCTTTTAATTATTTTGAAAAAATTTCCAAAAATATGAGAAATTTCGAAATTTATATATTTTTTCAACAATTTTTCTTATGTAATCAGACTTTTTAATTTTTTTTTGAAAAAACAATAGAAGAGGCATCAATCAAATATCACATGTGGTTCAGATTTTTTTCATTTAAACCAATGTTCATGATAATAATGATTATTCTTTCTTAAATTAAAAGGTAATTTTGGATGTACTTGACTCCACATTCACAAAATCAATATTTATAAAACTTGACTGAGCCAAATTCTCAGTATAACTTGACAGTCGAAAGTTTCAAACTTTAATATCATTAAAAAATGGTATTAAGGAGAAGAATCTAGAAGGGTATTAAGATAATTGTAATTTAACATGTAAAAACTATTCCAAAATGTTCTAAGTTAGTAGCCAATAAAAATATTATTTCAATGGTTAAAAACAAATAAATATTTAACAGTAAAATTGCATATTCACGATTAATATGAACTGGTTAGAATATCTGATGGGCTGACAACTTATTCATTTAATATTTTAGCAATATTTGCTAATCTTGGATCTTGTGCAGCGGCGTCATTAAGCCTACTAATAACTTGAAGATACCAATTTCGCTCCATAACAAGAGCTGCTGTTGCTTGTCTTTTTTGCTGAATTTGCTTGGTCATCTCTCCAATTGCACGAACAAGATCATCATTTTCTTCGAATTGAAGTCTGAGATCATTTTTAACTAAATCTAATGGTTTGTTTGACTCCTCACTAATGCTATCCATCTTTTTTGAAAATGAGCGTTATAAATAATTTGACGTTAAAAAATCATAGTTTACATGTCAGAAATATAATGAAAATGATTTATTTTATAGAATTAGAACCTTATTACCATAAAACATCTAAAAATGAAGAAATCGAAACATGATTAGTCAATATTTTTCTTCAATTTTTTTAAATCATAGTTTATTTCCTATTCGGACAATCAACCAGAAGTCTTTATAAATAATAACACATAAATGCGTGGCATCGGATATCATTTTTTAGATTCCATTTTTTGATGACAATTCCTCCTATTCAAAATCTTATAATTCCTAAATCTTATACGCCAAAAGCTGTAATAGAAGCCAATTTAGACTCAACAAGTGTTTTATGCACGAGAGATAATGTAGATTACGAAATTAGAATATTTGCAGTCGAAGAGATTGCATTAAAATGCAAAAAATGGAATGAAGATCTATCAAAAATAGGAGGAGAGCTATCAAATCGTATAATATTCCCTGAATTTCAAGTTCTTCCAAATTCAAAATATTGTTCTATCAGAAAATTTCATTCACGTACTCTAGAAGCATTAATATTCTTCGATGATACTCTTTTTCCAGAAGAAAAGCACGCTATTTGTCTCCAAATTGTTAGTATTTTTGCATTATTACCTCATGGAATCAAGTTTCCATTCCTTCCTTCAAGATTTCTTGTCCATGAAGATTTATATGTATGCCTTACAGATTTATACGAGCCTAATCCCGTTGATGAAGAAGCTTTTGAAATGGGATATTATAAACAAAATACAACAATGCTTAACCTTCTTCATTCTATTATTATGAAAACATGGAGGGTGGATGCATCTACAGCAGAAAAATATCGCGAAAATTACTATAATGCAATCTTTCCAGATCCAGAACATCCAATCGATTCAAAATTCTGTCCAGAATGGGGTGAGCACTTCCTTAAGGTACATAGGAAAAACAAGCCTATCAAAAAACTTCCTCCTTTACTTGTTTTCGATATTCATCGTGGAAAAATCATTTCAAGCAATCCAGCAGAGGTTTGCTCCGCATTATCAAATATATCCGACGATATTAGTAAAATTACAGCTCCAACACGCGATACTTTACGTACAGATCGAGCCACACAAGAATTAGAAAATATTAAAGAAGAAATGCTAAGAAAGAGAGTTTGTCCTATCATCAAAGAGTTATCTGATTCAGACAACGACTTAGTACGCGCTCTATCATTCTATATTATTGTAAAAATCAAAAAATATTTCAAGAATCGAACAAAACCATCATCATATCAAGTGAAACGTTCTAATTCAGAGTATTCCATACAGACACAAGACCAATCCGACGCCAAACTTAACCTCGGAATGCTCAGAAACTTATATCAAATTTTGATGAAGGATGATCCAGCGTCAAACTTCATCGGACACTGCACACTACCAGCCATCATGGCAATGAAGCCATCAATGATGACAGATATCCTCATTACCGCTATAAAAAGGACGGATATCGATGACCAAGACGAAATTATTGTTCAACTTTCGAATATTTCGAGGATAATTAAGTCGAGAGCCACTAAAATACAGATCATTGATACACTTAAAGTCACAGATGCATTGTTCAACTCGTTGCAAGGTATAAATCCTGAAGATTTCAATCCTGACGTCGTAATTTCCAGAATGTCGGCACAATTATTCACACAAAGTCAACTCCGCTTCCTTATACATGTTTCTAAAGTTGCGTCTATACCACTACTCCTCAGATTCTCCCTCAAAGACGCAATGGATGCACCAACTTTGATGACTTTGGTCAGAACTTTGATTGAAAGAGTTTCAAAAAGAGTCCATTCGGCAAATTTGGCAGCGGTTTGTCCTGTTTACAAAGGATGGTCGAAACCACCATTGATAACACCAAAACCTTTGGATAAAGATCAGTTTTCTCCCCCTCAAGAATTGATCTCAAATTGGTGTCTATCGTCACAAAAACCGCAATTCAGGCCCGTAGATTGTGAAAATTGGAAATCCTCACCGATTATCATACAAACAACGAACAAAGCCACATCCATTGCGTTCACAACAGACTGCAGATTCATGGTATCAGCTGGAAACAGTGTAGAACTTTATAGATTGGAGTCAATTAAAAATCATGGAATTGATTTCGGACGATTACCAGTGAAACTCGATCTCCCTGAACCAGCAACATCTGTAGCCACTGTTCCGAACTATATCTTCATAGGAACTTCAAAAGGTGTCTATAAAACACAAATTTTCGAAAAAATCGAAAAACCAAAAATTCAAAAAATTTTGGATTTGGAGACTTCTGTCACTTGCATTGAACGGATTTCGGATTCCTTGTTCATAATAATCTGCTACAAGAATGGAGATGTATACGGATGCATGGAAGAAGAGTGCAAATTCATGTTTTCGATTCCAAATAATTTCGGAGTTCCGATTTCCGTTTGTTCTGTCAACCAAAAGAACGAATATATCATAGGAACTGATGCAGGATACTTGATTTCTAGGTCTATTACGTTGTCTTGTCCAATTCGAATTGTAAGAATTTCGAATATGCCAGCACGAGTGGCCAAACACAACACAGACTCAATTGTTGTCACTGCTGGACCTTATGCTGCTATTGTTGATCGTAAATTGTCCAAGATTATCATTTCATTTACTCAACCTCCTTCTCATGTAAGAAATGTATGCGTTGTAGACAGAACATTAGTTACTTCCCACTCAGATGGAGGCATGAGATCATGGCTGGACGGAAAAATATATTCATTGGTCGATGGAACAATGCAGAGAGCTAAAAATGAATATGTTTGGCTTGCACAGCCTAGTTTTGCTGAACCAATACATAAATCAGATGTTGTAGCATTGATTAATATTCCTGCTTTGACTGCAGCAGCAAGTCTTGATTCAGATGGAGTAATTATTATTTGGTCGGTTATTTAATACTATTTACTATTTATTTTTGTTATGTATTTATATAAAAACTTTTGTTTTGATATTTTATTTTTAAAATGTTTTATATCGATTGTAAACATCTTTTTCCAAAGTCCAACTTCAAGATCTTGAAAAATGTTTTATATCGATTGTAAACAAGATGTCTTCAACTTAAAAAACATCAAAGAAATTACCTTTCTTAATGTAATCACTGATGTGAGCAACAATGTATTCATAATTCTGAGTGATACCTTGACTCATCGAATTGAAAATCGTCACTTTTCAAATTATAAATTCATTGGAAAATAGTATTTAGTTAACATTAAGTTACAATGAACTGCGATTTCCTTGCATTTTAGTTGGAAATTACAGATAGTTATTAAACATAGATTAAATGATGAGGAAATTGGGATATTAATATTATACCCTGAATTTTTTTCTGAGCACGGAATACCAATCACTTCAAATTGTTTTGAATTCATTAAACAAAGGACCCAAAAAATAAGCAATTTATATATGTATATATACATAAACCTAAGAGTGCGCTTTCATCCATCTGGTTTCATTTTTGAAAATTACCCTTAAAGACTAGAATTTAAGGCCATGTCATACAGGCGTTAGTGCACAAATAAATTATTTATATATATTTATATTTTTACATATATATGATAAAACGATCTGGTTGATTACTTTTCCTATTCAAAAACCATTGTTTATGCTGAAATCTTCGTTTCTTTAATTAACTTAATGAGATTAAATAGAAAGTAAATAATCTCTGATTTGGCCTTTTGCATATGAGAGTGGAGTTTCTCCATATTTATTCTTTGCTTCCTTATTAGCACCAACAGAAATAAGATATTTAACAATTTCAGTCTGACCATGTTCTGATGCATAAATGAGTGGAGTATCTCCATAATCATCCTTTGCTTCTTTATCAGCTCCAACAGAGATAAGATATTTAACAACTTCAAGATGACCTTGTTTTAATGCATAAATGAGTGGAGTATCTCCATAATCATCCTTTGCTTCTTTATCAGCTCCAACAGAGATAAGATATTTAACAATTTCAGTCTGACCATGTTCTGATGCATAAATGAGTGGAGTATCTCCATTATCATCCTTTGCTTCTTTATCAGCACCAATACAGATAAGATATTTAACAACTTCAAGGTTGCTTTTTTTAATGCAGAAAAGAGTGGAGTGTTTTCAGTAATACCTTTTGCTTCTTTGTTAGCTCCAATAGAGACAAGATATTTAACAACTTCAAGATGATTATTTTCAGATGCTTTAATGAGTGGAGTTTCTCCATAATCACCTTTAACTTCTTTATCAGCTCCAACAGAGATAAGATATTTAACAACTTCAAGATGACCATTCCATGATGAAAATTTGAGTGGAGAATTTCTATCATTATCATTTGCTTCTTTCTTAGCTCCAATAGAGATAAAATATTTAACAACTTCAAGATGACCTTCTTTTGATGCAATAATGAGAGAATACCACCAATGACTATTAGCTCCAATATAGATAAGATATTTAACAAGCTCAAGATTACCTCCAATTGATGCATAAATGAGTGGTGAATTATCATATCTAAAAATTGAACTGTCGTCAGTACAGCCAGCTCTAGCGAGAGATTTAACAAGGTTGAGATTTCCTCTTTCACATGCAACATGAAGGACATTCTTTTCATCAGCGTTTTTATCTTTTTTAGGAGCTATCTTTTTCCAAAGTCCTTCTTCACATGCTTTTGATACCATCGCTTGATTTCCTTGTGATGAAAGTTCATCAAGGAAATTGTAGATACTTTCAAAATCATCTGATTTCTTAAGTTTTTTAATTTTTGATAAAATTTCTTTCTGATTCATTTGAGGTTGAGGCGATTTTATTTCGTTATCACTTTTTGGTTTTTGAGCTTCACCATCACTTTTTTGAATTTGGTTGTCATTTTTTGGTTTTTGAATTTCGTTTGTTTCTGTTTGATGTTTTTGGATTTTCTCTGTAGAGTCAAACATTTCTTTTGATTTCTGATTTAAAAAGTCAATAATGCTATTAAGTATTCCGAGTTTCATGTATTTTTTGATTGATTTCAGTGTTAAGATAACATCTTCAAAGCTTTGAATAGAAACATTAGCATTTCGAGCACAGGTATATAACTTATTTGTTTTGATGGCATGATGTGACTGCTTAAGAAGAGTAATGAAGTCATTTGTTGTTAAATTTGAATTTTTCAAGATCTTTTTGATGTCTTCAACTTCAAAAACATCAAAGAAATTACCTTCCTTAATGTAATCACTGATATGTGCTGCAATGTATTCATAATTCTGAATAATGTCTTGATCCATCGACATGAGAAATCGTAACTTTACAAATTATAAAATCTGTGAAAAAATATTGTTCAATAATGGTTATATTACAATGATATAATTTATTAAAAACAATGTGTTGATCAAAAACTAAAATAACGGAATTTTCATTGAAATTTGGCCATTATTTGATTTGCTATTTCAAATTTAAAAGGTAAATGCATGATATTACGTTTGTATTTTTTTCTGATTTCATAAATTAAATTATCAAATGTTTAATTGATGATTCGGTTTCTGATTCTATAATTCCAACATGTTTGTAGAAGGCTTATTTATGTGAATGACATTGAAACCAACATAGAAACTTTATGTTCTTTTGATATTTATATCCCAATAAACTGAATAATTATTTCAATTCCATCGAAATATCTTTTCAAATAATCAATTGTTCCACAAAAATTAATGCATAACAATAGTAAATGATGAAGATAGAACAGCAAATCATACCAAAAAAGAAAATTGTACCAAAAATAAACAACAATTTATATAATTAAACAAAATAAAATAATGAAATCATACTAATTCTTGAAAAGAATTACTAATTCTGGTAAATCTTGCAGCATCATACAATTTCTTCATGTCTTGAAGCTGCTTTGATATACGAGATAGTTCTTTATTTGTAATTCTTAAGTTTTCTTGCAATTCTTGGATGATGTCGTCTTCTAATTCGCTTTTTGTTCTTTTCAATGAGGAAACTTGGTTCATTTCTTCATTAATTCTTTGATTTATTTGGTTATAAATGTCATCACCATACCTGGAGAGCTTAGATGACTGAGATTGAAGACTATCCAAATTAATTTCAAGATCTTTTCCTTCATTTTTAAGTTTTCTGGTTTGATCATGCAAAGATTCTTCCTCATTGATCAATTGTGGTGTATTTTGCTGATAAAGCTTCGTATCACTTAAAATTGTTTCCAATTTCGCACAAACTCTTTGGAATTCCTTTGATAGTGATGATTTCTGGTCAATTAATTGATTCCTCTCATTAGAAGAACTTGAAATCGACAAATTTTCGTATTCTTCTGATAATTTTTTAGATTTTGCAGCCAATTCAGCTTGTTCTTTATTAAATTGAATGCCTATCTCAGCAAGTTCATCATTCTTGGCTTTGACTCTGTTTTGCATTTCCAAAATTTCATTATTTAATTTTTCAATGCGTTCTTTAAGATATTCCTCAATTAACTGGTCAAGAGATTGTGAATTATCTTTGTAGTTCTCAAGATCGCGAAGTTCTTGTTCCAAAGCCAAATTTTCCTTTTCAGTTTTTGAGATATCATCATTTAGATTGCTGACCTGTTGTTCATCGTCTACAATCGAACTGTTCAAGTCAGGGGACTCAATTTCTCTTGAAATTATTGATGCACGTGGAGATTTTTGAGATTTTATACTCTGAACTTTGCTTGAGAGCTGTTTTGTGGGTGAAACTACATTCAATGATCCTGGGAGAAGTGTGCTGATAGTTGGATTATCGTTTTCATCATCGTTTAATAAAATTTTCAAATAATCATCGCAATGAATAATAGTTTTAGGCAAATCTTTTGAAGGATCAGTTCCTAAAGTCAATAATGCTTCTATCATTTTATCAAGATGAGCGCTAATTAGTGTAGTTTTATCTTCTGTAGTTAATGCTTTGACTCTGAATAACTGTTCGAAGTTTTTGAACAAATGACGTCTGTAGCTACTTATTGTTTTCTTGTAATTATGAATTTCGTTATCTATATCCTCATCTGACCTTATACTTTCTAAAAACTCATTTGTTGATCGTTCAAACATTGAACATGAATCAGACAATTGGGAACTTAAGTCAATATACTTTCCTTGATTGGAGTTTGGGATAGAATCGATCAATTCACTGAATGTTTGACCCATTATTCTTAGGGAGTCAGGTAAAACATCTAAACATAGTTGTTCTGGCGATTTTATCTGAATTGTGTAAACTTTTAACTTAAATTTATTCCAATTTTGAGTTAAATCTGTTTGTCCTTGCTTGAATTTTGAAGAACTATATTTATGTCCATTCTTATTTGAAGGTAAGCTTGATATAATGTTAGATCCTGCATCTTGAAGAGCAAATAACGTTCTTTCAAAAGAAGATTTTTCTTTTTTAGTTAAAAGAGTGTTTGTGATGTATCGCTCAAGTCTTGCTACAACTTTGTTCAATATTTCAATAACTTCCTTTCTTGTTATTGGTGCTTCATCTCCTGAATTGACGGAAGTCATTTTTCTAGTTTGATTTTTAATTTCTTTTCTGAAATATAGATTTACAATCAGTATCTAATCATACGTTTTGACTTTTATTCAGAATTTTAATTTTTCAATAGTTTACACTATTTCAATAATGCAATTAGCTTTTAATCATATAGATAGATTCATCAGACAACAACAAAGCTGAATGAAGAATTTAGTTTGATTCAGAACAAGATTTTACTTTCCATCGATGAGTCAAGAGATCCAGCTGGATATTCAATACATTGCAGATCATATTGACGATTACATTAGGGATAATAAGATATTCACAGTGTTTGAGAAATCAGACATTAAAAAAATCTTGAGAAATTCAAATTTATCAACACACAACTTCAATACTCTTCTTCATCAAGCATCTTCTTTTATAACTTCAAATGATATATACATGTGAACCAGAAATGCAAATGTTTCTGTTCAAAATTTTGAAGATATCTTTGCAATTCTGACTTCAGCAATTAAATACATGAAACTCAGAATATTTGATGGAATTATTGACATTTTAAACCAAGCAGTAGATGAAATGCGTGAATATATTGAACAAAACCAATTACTTCAAAATCAAATGCAAAACTACTTTGAAGAAATACAAACCCTTCAAACTAGTAACATTGAAGCTATGTATGAAAATAAACAACTCAAAAATGAAATTGAAGAAAAAGATGATTTACTATTTCGTTATGATGAAGCATATAAAAAACTCAATGAAGTATACCAAAAAAATATGACTAAACTAAAACAAATTATGGAAGAAAACAACAAACTAAGCAAAGAAATCAAAGCAAAAGAATCGATACAACATAATATAATCAACGAAAACAATATACTAAAGCTGGAAATTGAAAGAAAAGATAGGATACTTAATCCATTAATTGAAGAGAAAAAGAGAGAAAGAAAATTTCAATTCCTTTCTGCGTGGGAATATGGAGATTTACAAAAAATTAAAACTCTCATTGAAAATGGTTGTGATATAGAAGCAAGGGAAGAGTTTGGAAGAACTGCACTTATGCGAGCTTCAAAAAATGGCCAATATGAAGTTGTTAAATATCTTATCTCTGCAAGGCGCTAATAAAGATGCAAAAGATATTTATGGTTGGACTCCGCTCTTTTTTGCAGTCAAAAATAGCCATCTTGACGTTGTTAAATATCTTATCTATTCAGGTGCAAATAAACATGCAAGATCTAATAGTGGTGTATCTATTATCAAATACACATCAGACAAAAATGTAAGAGATTTTCTAAATTCGATTGGAGTTGAGTAAAAAACTCATGAACTTCAAAAGATTGGCTTGATTTTGAATTGATTTATTCATTGTAATCTGGTCGAGTTATGCAGTGTGTGGGAAAATAAAAAAAGAATATGGTATCATATTCATCTGTATTAGTATTAATATATGTATTCTTATTACTTTATGGCATTTCAAAATTTCCAATGGAATTTAAAGTTTATTCCTATTATAGAAACTAGTGTCAATGCAAAACGAAGAGAAATAATGAAGGATAAATAAAATATAATCGTTTTAACTCAAAATTCCCGAAATTTCAAATTTTATTAATAATTTTGTTGAATCCTCATTAATTTAAAAGATTTTTTAAAATAAAAGCATATACACAATTCAAAGACATAAGATAACAATTGATACTTCATGGAAATTAAAAATCAAATTTAGAATTAACAGATTTCGATTAAAATTTAATTAGGAAATTCATACCTATCATAAATGGAATATTTTTATCCGCGGAATTTATCCAAATAAAGTTTTATTCGTTATTTTCATCAATTGAAAGAAAAAAAATATTATTGAAAAAAAAAATGAGCGATCAAGATATAACCATTAATTCAACAAATTCTATTTCCATGGTAGAAGAATGCGCAAAATGCGTCGAAATGGAAATGTGGCCCCAATTTAGAGCCTTATTCAAGCAAATAAATACGTTTTATAAACAAAATTACAAAGAAGACTCAGATGATAATTTCGTTCGTATATGGTTTGCTCTTCGATCACTCACCATTGATAATTTTATGAAAAAAATACAAGATTGCACTCAATTTGAAGATTATCTTAATTATCTTTCTTTAATTTCAGATTTAGTCGATGACCCAAAGAGATTATGGGTCATAATGCACACAGAACTGCAAACTATTTTCAAAGCTTCTCCTAGTCAATGCAGATATATCGCAAAAACGTTCTTTACACCAGGACAATTATTCGAATACAGTATTGACGCATTCCTCGACTCACAATTATGCAATTTAAATACTATTGCCACAGAAGATGATGTTATTGATAGATTTTATGCGCTGGCTGGCCTAGTAAGGGCATGCGGAGTAACCAGAAACGATAGTGTACCACAAAGCTACATTAATTATGTTGGAAAAATTCTTCGTTCATATATAAATTTACAAATTTTTTCAGCAAAGCGATTCGTGTGGCTAGTTGAGTCAATAGGCACTAATCTATTTATAAATCCAAATATTTTGAGAGGTATTTGTGCGGAATCAATCACAGAATTCATTAAAAAAGATATTTCACCGAAAGAAAAACTAGAAATGGCCGGAACATTCACAACATCACCATTTATGTGCCACATACCAATCCTTAATTCATTAGTTGAGGACAGCTATAAAACTGTCGTTGAAAATCTTTATTATAATTTTGTCAAATACATTTTACCTGGATTTGCCGATTTAGAGTGGAAAGGCAAGGAATATGGAATCCCATCAGATCCAGCTCGTTGCTGGAAACTATTCTATGACAATCTTTTTACAAATAATGAGAAATCGCCAATAATGATGCATGCAATTGGCAAATCTCTATGTCAAACTCTTCAGTTCTTAGCTGATTATTATGGAAGCGTCCAGCCAGAGCTCACAAGAGCTGTTGATGTTAGAAGAGATATATTTTACATTGTTCAGACAATTGTTAAGCTTCCAATCGGTCTTAGTGATAGAGACTACCAGAATATTTGGTTGTTACTGCTTATTGCGGCAATTATTGGAGCTGAACAAACTTTAATTTGCAATCTTCCAACTCCTGAGAAATCAAGGACCACAGTTATGCTTGGACTTGATGTTTCAGAGAATGGCTACGATTTCATTAACTATAAGAAAGCTTTGGCTGTTCTAACTGAAAAATTCTCAGGTGAACAAGACGCAATTCCAGATATGATCAAATATCTTCGCCAAAACTATCATTAATTTTCCATGTTTATATATATTAGTAAATTGTTGTTGTTATTAATCATTTCATTTTTTTTTAATTTTAATGTCAAGCATTATTATGTAGTATATATTTATTCGACTTGCAATATCACTTAAAATATGTGCTTCCATCTAAGACATTGTCATGGATTGTAGAATGAAAAAAAAAAAACTCGTACTCTTCTCAATTTACCAGAACTTTCAACTAATCATGGATTTGTGCAATTTAGATATGGGAAAATGATTAAAAATAGATATGTTATCAAAGTATTTTAACCATAAATTAATGTTTTATAAAATTTGGGCTGTTATTACATATTCTCCTCCTTTAAATGGACAAGCAGGATAAATACTTCTTTCCTCAAAGACGATTTTGTTTCCTTTTGCCTCATAATATGCTTGTATTGTTGCCATTATATTTCCGATGTCAAACGTTCCAGAGTTAGAATACATACCTGTACCAAAATCAGCACAGTATATGTGTATGTTAGGTTCATCGAATATAATTCTATATGAATGCGGTTTCATAACACATGGAATTTTGTTCATTCCTGTGCAGATAGTCTTTCTATCTCCTACTGCTTCGAACTTAATTGTGTCATTTACTTTCATGTCGTAAAACTTATCTTGGAACTGATTTGATCCACGCCAAGAACCCATCCATTTGACAACCGATTCGATCCACCTGTCTTCACCTTCATTTCCGAAGGCAACTCCGATAATTGCATTATCCTTATTCTCGAAGAACTCTTCAGCTTTCTTCTTATTGAAAGCTCCGAAATAGCAAGTTGCAATATCATTGCGTGTAAGCTCAATAATGCATGACATGAGCATATGTCCTGCTTGCATGTTAATTTTGCGCTGTTCTTTGTAATCCCTCTCCTTCTTAGGTGCTTTTGCGAGGAATCAGCCTTTCTCGTTGACGAGCATATTCATTCTGCCGAAACCTGGAGGAGCAACAACAAGTTCAACTTCATAATTCCTTTCCTGTGCAATTTTGTTAGCTCTTTCAGCAGCCTTTCTGATAATGCTCATCTTCTCTTCTGAGAATGGTGTATCTTTGAAATTTCTGGTGCTATGTCTGCGTTCAAACGCTTCTTCGATACTGAATTTATATGTACTTTGCACACTCATAGTAAGAGCAGAATAAAAACTGAGCATTTAATTCAATTGCTGAATTTGAATTAGTATACAAAAATTCAAAATTTACCCATTTATCTCAATTTATTTTCGACATTTTCCTTTTTTTTATTTTAAAAAACAATCGAGAGAATTATAATTAATGAATAACATAACCGTTAATTTTTTTCCTTTTTCTATATCATTATTCAAAAATAGATTGAGAGGAAATCGGAAATTTGACACATTTAATCATTCATTGAGTTTCTAAATGATGCAAGAAACACAACTTTTAAAATCATATATTCTATGAATATGAATCCAACGAGACATATAAATTAAATGCAATTTCTTAATTTTTTTTATCAAAGAAACAAATATTATCAAGATGATAGCATCCATACAAAACATAATAAATAAATTATGCTACATCAATTTGTGGTATTTGCAGATATTAAATTTGATATTTTCTGATTTGGTATAATTTTTTCCCTTAATTCTATCAAAGAACATATTATTAAATCACTTTTATTTTTTTTAAATCACTTTTATTTATTTTTTTTGAATTTTATTTGAAATGAGTATCTTTTATTTTAAAACTTGAAATTGCTTTCCAAATGAGTTAACGTCTCTTAGCATCAAGAAAGTACATAAGCAGATATCCTGATCAAAAGTTTAAATAATCTCGAAAGACATGGAAATAAATAAGTTTATTGGCAGTATTACGTGTATTTCAGGGTAAAATGATGCAATTAATTTGACTATAGGTAGTTTAGATTTCATCAATATGCTAAGTGGGGTTGAAACTTTTTTTAATGACCTCAAGATTTCGAAATCACGAGAAAAACTTAACAAATCACATGTTCTGCTATACAGTCGCATTACCCACATAGTTCTACGCATATTGTGTCACATCAATAGCATTTTATTTCAAAAAGATATCGCGGATCATCGATAAAAAGACCGCTAGTAAAAAAAAATTCAGATATGAAATTTTTTGAGTATGAATTCATACCACCCCACACACTTAAAAATAAGAAAACATCATTAGTAAGATAGTTACACGCATATTGCATTTTAACAGGTATCATGCCTGTTAAAAAAAATTGAGATAAGTGGGTAAGTGCTCTCAATTTAAATTTCAATGAAAAACTAGATTTGCTTCTAATAATAATGATAGGTTTGTTACCTATGAAATTCAATTTTTTAATAACTTGTAGTTTTTCTATTGTTTTAATTTAAATTTTTCAAACTTTGAATAGTTCTTTTAATTTTTGATTTTTTTCCCCAAAACGTGCGTTTTACAAATAACTTTTATTTTGCGAATTAAGCATGAATTACATATGTTAGATAAACGACAGTGGCTGATTATACAAAAAATTGATCAAATTGATTTAATATAATTTTTACAACATTTACTATCATATCTTGCATATATTACTAGGCTTCACTCATGCATAGAAATACTGTTTGTGGTTGCATATTTGTTCCTCAAAAAACAAAAGAAACTCAACCAAGAAAAATGACAAAACCTGTTCAAAAAGTTGCAAAACAACAGACAAATAAAGGTGATGACGATGATGATAACTGGGGCAATTTGTACGACAAGTCTGGAAAGAAACAGATCAGACCAAAGAAATCTGTCAAAGCAATGAAAGTTGAAGAGATTGATGATGCTGAATGGGGAGATTGGGATGATGCCAAATAGAATAATTTTGTAATATTAGATATTATTTATATTTAGTTTTGTGTTTTAAAAAGAATTAATTTTAAAACTTAAAATTGTTTTCCAAATGAGACTTATAGTCAGTGAAGTACTTTTCTGCTTGTGTATCCTTCACGACATCGTAGAAAGTGATCGAAGGAACTTTCTGCATTCCCATGAACTGGAAAGCTTTATGGAGCCAGATCCAGACATTGTCGATTCCTTTGCCTTCGAAAAGCTGATTTGGATCTGTGAAAGATTCTTCTGGAGCATTCCATGTAGAGACAATCATATACTTCTTGTTCTGTGATAAACCTCCACTTCCGTACTTCTTAGACGAATCTTTCCTTGTGCGCCCATCGTTCTTCAGTAAGACTCCGTATCCTGAAGAGAAAACTTCGTCGATGTACTTCTTTAAGTGCCATGGAACACTCATGCACCATGCTGGTGTAGAGACTATGATAATATCCGCCCAGACAATCTTAGCAAGTTCTTCTTCAGTTTTGTACTCATCTTTGAGCATTGTAATCTTTACTTCGCATCCATGAGATTGAAAATACTCTGTTGCAATCTCGGTAAATCGCTGATGAAGACCGCCTTTTGACAATAGGAAAGGTACTGCAGAGTTGATGATTAAGATGTGCTTTCCCGAATCGTTTGATGACATATTGAGAAATGAAGTGTGTGTGTTTCAATGCATTATTCTTTAAATGGGACGATAACGATCCATTCAAATATTCATAAGCGATATTTATGAAAATTGAGAAGAAATCGCGATTTCAATTGCGATCAAAAATCATAAAATAAATCTATACTTAAACAAATGCGAAAATAATGATATAATTGTTATGAAGATTAGATAAGATTCATTCCTTTTCAGATGAAAATAATGAATGATACAAATTGAGAGTGCTCAAAAGTTTATCATTTTTTCAAGATGGCATCTACTCAAGCTAAGCAACTTAAAGTCCTGATCTTAGACTGTGGACAGGAAACATTCGTTTCTAAGGGCAACCTCAATCATAAGATGACCGACATAGCGAGAGAGTTCTTTGAGTCACATGGTGGCGAAGTTAAAGTTACTAAAGTATACGAGCCATATGACAATCAAGGTGAACTTGACAAGATTGTCTGGTCAGATGTCTTGATCATTCAGACACCTGCATGGTGGATGGGCATTCCGTGGTTCTTGAAGAAATATTTCAATTATTTTACCTATTCATCTCAATTTTTGAGAACTGAAATAATCATGTGAGATCTCTCTTATATAAATGAAAGCTACAAATATGAATGATAAACCTTGCAAACCATATTCTCAAATTTTTTTGTGAAGGAAATGTGTGTAGCATCATAAAAAATGAGTATTATCACAGAAACGCAATTTATAACATAGAAACTCAAGGGTTACTGGTTTATTTATAATTTTGAAATTTTCTCGATTTTCTTTTCACTTCATAATGACATTATGAGAAAATGATTGATAAAAACTAGATTGAATGATAATATACTGCAATGGTTCACTATGGTTGGCTTCCTGTAATTTAATTTTCTTGCAAAATTGAGATTTAAAATCATTAAATACCGAGCGTCATTAAATATGCAACCACAAACAGTATTTCTATGCATGAGTGAAGCCTAGTAATATATGCAAGATATGATAGTAAATGTTGTAAAAATTATATTAAATCAATTTGATCAATTTTTTGTATAATCAGCCACTGTCGTTTATCTAACATATGTAATTCATGCTTAATTCGCAAAATAAAAGTTATTTGTAAAACGCACGTTTTGGGGAAAAAAATCAAAAATTAAAAGAACTATTCAAAGTTTGAAAAATTTAAATTAAAACAATAGAAAAACTACAAGTTATTAAAAAATTGAATTTCATAGGTAACAAACCTATCATTATTATTAGAAGCAAATCTAGTTTTTCATTGAAATTTAAATTGAGAGCACTTACCCACTTATCTCAATTTTTTTTAACAGGCATGATACCTGTTAAAATGCAATATGCGTGTAACTATCTTACTAATGATGTTTTCTTATTTTTAAGTGTGTGGGGTGGTATGAATTCATACTCAAAAAATTTCATATCTGAAAATTTTGAAAAAAAATATTAAAGAATTTAACATATTATATGAACTTATATTAAGGATCTGGTTTGGAGAAAAATCATCTCTAACTCTAAAATTCAGTTTGGAGAAACTTTACAAATTGTAGACTTCAAGTAGAAAAAATATACATTTAAATATCAGTCATATTCCTAAATGTAACTCAGTTTGTGTTCAAGCTTAATATGGAGAGAGTACTTAACATTTAATTAAGTATTGGAAAATTATATCAAGGATTATTTTTGTAAATTCATGAACTGTATAATTGAAAGTAATTCACATAATAATACAAAAGCAACTTCCCTTAGGCTAAACTTGATTTATTTGGAATAAAAGGAAAAAAAATTGGGGCATTATCATTTTCGTCTTTCATTAAATATGAAACATCATGAAATATAAATATGAATTGTATATGTGTAACACGTTCATAACTCGTTTATTAAATAACTAATCATACCAAATATATAATTTTGCAAGATTCAACGCGTTTAAAATATTTAGTCACTCAAATGACAATCTGCTCTTCGGTATCAAGTACCACACTACTTACAGTATCTTAAATCAAATTTATAATATCATTGGTGCCGTTTTACTCAAATAGCTTTATGATTTGTTTAGAGATTGCTCTTACATGACAGATATTGCCAATCTACTTATCAAGTCCTGCTAAGAACTTTTAAGATTTCTCACCATATATTCATCTATGAGCATCAAAAAGAAAATGCACAGTGCATCTTACTATCAAATAATAGCTGCATTTCTTATTTACCTGAGAAAAATGGCAATTTTATTAAGCATTCATAGCGATTTGATATCTGATAGAAAGCATGTAAATGCACAAAATATTTTCTAAGAGTGAACATCTAGCTGAGTGCAAGCGATGAAACAATAACAATCATTCAATAAATATCAATATTTCCTTGCATCTTGAAGATTTCTTTGGTGATTTTAATAGGTTCGTCATTAACGAATTGATGTATTATGCCATCGAATCGAATCATCAATTCATAATCTGTCTGTCTAGATGTGTAAATATATACTTTGGATAGATAATAGTTAATATTTGATATGTTATTTGAGACATGTTTCCATCTCTTTTGACTTGCTTTGCATCTTGAAATGACAAAATTGTTGTTTAAATCATAATATGTTTCTGAGAGAATCATTATGTACTTTTCAATGATGTCTCATTATTTAATATTTATTCGAAGCTAAGACATGATAGTGGCTTATTTGCATGATCATGTGTACAATTATTGCCGATAGAGCTCTCCACCAAATATATAAGCAGCTTTAAAGTCCTGCTGTTATATACTATGTCTATTGCATGATTTAATAAATTCTTAAAAACAATACAATATGTTTACTGATATTTTATCTATTAGTCTATTAAAGCGTGAATTCGGATAGAACTTATAAAAGTTGTTATTAATAATAATAAATTTTTTATTGTTTTATTCTTTATGGAAAATTCGAATCTAGATGTTTGCGATAGTCACTGAAAGATTTTTCAGCATTCAGATTCTTGACAACATCGTACATCGTGAAGCATGGAACTTTTCTGAATCCCATGAACTCGAACTCCTTAGTAACAGGCATCATCACTGTATCTATTCCCTGTCCTTCGAAGAGCTGGTTTGGATCCGTGAATGCCTCTTCTGGTGCATTCCATGTGGAAGAAATCATAAAGCGCTTAGATTGAGCAAGTCCACCACTGCCATACTTCTTCGATGGATCTTTGCGAGTTCTTCCATCATTCTGAAGAAGGATTTCATAACTTAACGCAAAAACTTCATCGAAATATTTCTTCAAGAACCACGGAATGCCCATCCACCATGCAGGTGTCTGAATGATCAAGACATCTGACCAGACAATCTTGTCAAGTTCACCTTGATTGTCATATGGCTCGTATACTTTAGTAACTTTAACTTCGCCACCATGTGACTCAAAGAACTCTCTCGCTATGTCGGTCATCTTATGATTGAGGTTGCCCTTAGAAACGAATGTTTCCTGTCCACAGTCTAAGATCAGGACTTTAAGTTGCTTAGCTTGAGTAGATGCCATCTTGAAAAAATGATAAACTTTAGTTAGTATGGTTAAGTCGTGTACTGTGGCACTGCGCGCCTCCGTACACCACTTAACCTTAAATATTTACAAAACCATTAACATATATTTTTACAACACAAACGACAACACTAACTTAACCTTAAATATTTACAAAACCGCCAACCACTTCACCTCACTAATGTTTTCACAAACGACTTCACTACTGTAAAAATAAACGTTCTCACTATCGTTCTCACTAACGACTTCACTAATGTTCTCATAAATTTTCCTCAATATCTTCATCATCAGTGTTAACCCTATTGTAGTCATACTTGAAGCCATAAACTTTCTCTAACTTCTTAACGTACAATTTACATAACTTACCTTCGTCATCGTATGGTTTAATGATATAACTATTTCTATCTTTATAAACAGTCAATGAAAAGTCAACTGGTCTCGGATGTATTTGAAAGAACATGTTATGCTCAGGAAGGAAGAATAAATGTTTAAATGTATGTTTGTTATATGTTTTGATTTGTATGAGTTGCTTTTGTTCTGTCATTACATCCAAATAAAATAAAAATAATTTTAAAAAATAAAATAAAAATTAAATGATCTCACCACTCTCACACGTATGAAAACATAGCACAAAAATAAATTTAGGTGAAGTGGTGAGATCTAACCCTTTTTTCACCTCATTTTACCCTGTTGAATTCATTGCTTTATAACTCTCTTCCTTGGTTTCTTTTTAGTTGCTTTCTTCACGTCTGTCTCCAACTTGACTGTCTTTCTTCTTCGTCCGTAATGATACCAGTTACTTCCACCAGTCAATGGGTCAAATGGTCTTTCGTAAGGGTTTCCATACATTCCATAGGGACCATACGGAAGAACTACTGGTGGAGAAGAAACATTCTTTAGTTCCATCGACTCTATTTAAATGCATTGTTTCACCTTTCATCTGGTCATTAAAGTCTTTTGCGTGTTTTGCAAACTCATCGTCCTTTCCTAAAGCATTTTCTGACTCAGTCGCAACCAAATTGGATGCTTTATTTATGAGCCCTATTTTATTTAATCTTAACTTCTTTGCAACCCAGCCTCCAATCTTTCCTTTATTTGCATCTAATGTCTTCGAAACTCTTCCTCCACTCATTTTATTTACTGCGTCATAAGCTCCAAGTGCTTTTGCTCCAAATGCTAATGCTTTTGTTCCCATTGCGCCTAAAGCTGCCCAAGCTACCATTTACACCATATTAAAATCATCTCTCTTCAATATTATCTCATAAAAGTTCTCGTTACTGGAGAAAGTCAATGAAACATAAACATTCTCACGGGCTTCCCCTCACCGCTTTGCGGTCTATCTAACTTCTTTCTTATCTCATCTATTCGCTTCAAAATGTCTGAACAATTGCTAACATCTTCTACAACAGTTATTTCATCATGAACGACCTTTAAGAACAAGCTCATTTAATATGCTATTAAAATCATCTCAATAATGAGTCCATCCTTTCCATCTTTAGGTAGCACAACATCTTTCATTGAAGAAGGTTCGACAAGTCTTATGTTAAACTTACTGACAAAGTTTGTTATACTATAATGCTTCGGCGGCGAATACATGTAGTTTGAAAGACATAATATAGATTCTTCAGCAAATTCACTTATACTGGATTTTATAACAATGTTCTCACGAGACCAAATACCACCAATTGACAATCTTGTAAGCAATCCTGCTGAACCTTCTACTGTAAACGTCGATGGTAACATTCCACGAAGGTCATCTATTGACATCGTTGAGTCACTGTATTTAAATATTTTCTTAAAGCAATCGTCATTATCTAACCATGCAATAGCTTTGAAGTTTTCATTCGAATATACATCTGCTTCATTAAATGTAAAACCTGACTTCTTTGCAGAGATGACTTTAAAATCTATTGAGTTTGTTTCAAAATTATACGCTATGGTAACTTCTGAAGGTAATGGGTGTCCTTCCGCAGTCAGTTGTTCTCTCACTACCGTTTGAAGCTTTGTGTTAAAAACTTTCATGTCATCTCCTGTGTCTAGGTTCACATACACAGCAATGGGAAAACTATCTTGCTTCTTTGTTTCATCATTATACCTCAAAACATTAAAGTTCTTCAATAATATTGTCCTTCCTGCTGGAATACTTCGAACCTGTCTGATTTCAATAGCTTTCTCACCTCCGACATACTCTACCCAGTGTCTTGGATATTCATAAGTATACTGACTTTCTTGAATTTTGGTTGGTTTCATCATAACGTGTTCATAGTATATCTTTATACTCTTGTCAGTTAGACTCGGTGCTATGTTCTGAATATTTCTGACTTGCATTTTTAATGGAGATAAAATGAAGCATTTAATACATGACGTAGATGAAGACATGAATGAAACTACAGACAAACTTAACTCTTCTCTCATTCTTCCTTTCAGCAAAGATTATGAATTCTGTTCAAATGGTGTGTATTTCTATTGTGGAAAGATGGGGTCAGGTAAGACATTTAACCTCATTCGTCATATACTCATAACAGAGCGTTTAGGAAATGACTCATATTATGACCAAATCATTATATCAGCAACTTCAGACTCTATGGACTCAACAGCGAAAACATTTATGTCAAAAGTTCAAGCCTCTGTCGTTAAAGTTCCAGACAGTGAACTCATTGAATTTCTTCAACGTTACATTCGACGTAAGAGGAAATATTATGCCATCGTTGAATTTATACAGTCAGGAATGCAAAAGACTTCAGAAGAGATGGAAAGAATTATTGACAAACACCACTTACGTCAATACTCAGGAGTTTACGATATGAAACGACTGACAAACTACATTCTATCAAAACTTTCAAAATACCCCTTCAAAAAATATCCTTCAAATACTCTGCTCGTTTGCGACGACTTCGCCGGAAAAGGTTTAGTGTCAAAGCCTGACTCACCATTAGCTAACATCATTACTAAAGTCAGACATTACCACTTAACTGTAGCAATACTTATGCAAACATGGCGTTTTCTTGCTTTAAACATAAAACGTCTCATAACTGACTTCGTTATCTTTCAAGGTTTCTCACGTTATGATATTGAACTCATTTGGAAACAGTCAGGTATAACATTACCTTTTGAAGAAATTTGGGAAGCATATAAGTCTCTCATCTCTCCTCGTTCATACCTTGAGATTCATATCATGACTAATACCATTAAAGTCAAAAATATTCCATGGGAACGACCAACATTGTTTTAAAGTTTAACCTTCAATTGACTGATGGTAAACAAATTCCATGCATCTCTGTCGCCATTTCTGTTAATATTTTTGCTGTCATTCATATCATCCACTTCCCCATCCGTTAACTTTTGAGGATATGCGTTAGAATAGCTGTTCTTAAATGAAGGCTTTTCACCTTTGAGAGCATAAACTCTATAACTTTCTGCATACTTTATGTTTGAACCTCCTGAGCCATCATTGACATAAATTTTTATAGGCTTCCACCCTTTGTTCATGTTCCTGCTTCTTCCCTTAGCTCTTTTGTTCAGTAGTTCTACATCTTTATACACAGCACCTGTCTCAGTGAATTCAACAATATTTTCATTCGTTAGCTTTACATTCAAACCCTTGTCGAGTATATTGTTCATTTCATACATATAAAAGGTTTTTATTCTATATGAAATGAGAAGCAAATCCATCTTAGCTGGTGCCGTTAATGTTCCAATTGAACCAACATCAAATGTTGACTCACGAACGACAAACAATATTGTCATAAAGAACTATAGTTCGGAGTGTTTGAAAGAAGAACCAAGCTGAAATCCGTGAATTTAAACACAGCTTCAAACGCTAACGCTACATCAGATGTTAAGTTAGAGTATCCACCACTGGACCAAATTCTTTCAAGAGAAGCCAACGACAACCCTTACACAAATGTTCAAACAAATCCTTCAGATAACGTAGACCATTACCTTCTTCAGTTATACCAAACAATTTTACTCAAAGACGATAAGAAGCTTTTGACAAATCTTATAAGCAAGAACCAAATAATTCTAACAAAGGAGGACCTTGAAAATGTTATATCACGAATAACAGGGAAACAATGTGTCATTGACTATCTCGACCCTGAAATCGAATGCTGTGGTCAAACGCCACCATTCATGAAAATAGGTAACATCCGCATCATTGAAATACCAGGAACTACAGGAGTTGAGTTTAAGTATAAATATTCGAACGATATACAAAACTTTCAACAGAATATAAATTTGTTTGAAATATGTTTTAGTAAATTAAAGCAATTTGTAATATCTATCCAAAACTTCTTCAACAGTATCGAACTCATCTTCATAATGCAAACCTAATCTTATTGACTTGGTGCAGTTTTCACTAACACAATATAGCGCTTTGCGCTCGGCGCCTTTGACGCCTTTTTCTGTTCTCTTGACTGACATAACTAACTCATTTGTTTCATCAAACAGCAATAACCAAAGTTCATGACCTAATACATAACATTCATACTTTATATTTTTAGCTCTGAGTTCTCTTGTAAGCTGTTGCATTTAATATTTTCTAAAAAGTCAACTTCAACAGTCATTCGCACTGGTGCCTTCAGTTCTACAGGCTCTCCTTGAAAGTCAACAAGTCTGAATTGCATGTCTTTCAAATTATGAGGACTAATGCGAACCCATTTACCTAAATGAGTTGCTATGACAGGAACGTTTGGAATGAACATTGAATTGACTGCATAACAGAAGGATTTATATTCTACTGAACCTTTACTATTAACTCCTGAAATACCTGTGACATTAGCTATTTTTGACTCAACGTATAAACAATTACCATAACATACGTATGGAACAGATTTCATCTCAATCGTTTTGTCAACACTTTTCAAAGGAAATGTCATATGGTATGCTCCCAGAAGCAATTGAACTCTATGACTCATTCGTGTTATCTTAAACTCCTTCGCATAACTGAACTTCAAAACTCCTGCAATAAGTTTAACATTCATTAAGTTTTCTTCGTTCTCCTTGTTTATTGTAGTATTTATGAGCGCATTTAACACTCCAGCTAATGTTTCCATCTTATATTCTACATTATTGTGAAATCTTATTTCGTGCTTCTTTCCATCTATTTCAAGCTCCATGAAATCTGTTTCATCTGTTATAACGAATGCGATAGTATTGAAGTCAACAACTCTGAAAGCAAGCGCTTCATTCTGAAGACCTAAGTTTGTTTGTAGCTTTACTGTCCCGTATTCGTTTGGGTCTGTACTTTGCAAATAGAACAACATTTTATTCTCATTAAAATATGAGTATTGCTGCATATGCGTATGAAGCTGACAGAGCTAAACGTTTATATTTTGGTCAATACTCTCTCACACTTACTGACAAATATATTGTTATTTCTGATGGAAATACCGAGAAATACATAACATGGAAGGACTATGAAAAGTTTGACCCTATTTTAACTCCATGTACAATGCCATTCATTGTAAATGGTGAAGTTGTCATGAAGAACGACACAACAGTATATAAGTCTGTTATGAAGCGTTAGAATATATGTTGAATTATAATCCCGAAAGATTTGACCCAAGCACTACGTCATGTACAATGCCTTTTATTAAGGACGGTGAAATCGTAAGAGTTCCGGATTCAACGGTTTATACAGCTGTTCAAAACAGTTTACAAAACATTTTAGCGAATATCTTTAATTCAGAAACTACAGAAATAAAATTACCATATATAACAGATGCTAAAGAAATTAAATCAAAAACGACAACATTATTTACGTCACTTAATGATTTAATGACTTATATCATTAATATTCCTGCACCAACTACAGCATTTGATCCAAACTCGACGGTTTGCAGTGTACCTTTCATAAAGGACAGTTCATTAATTGTTTTAAGGGATTCAACAGTTAATGAATCATTAAAGGCGTCATTAATGAAAATCATTGATTTTAACTCATTCACGAATACATATAATTCATTCATTAATGTTTCATATGCTTCTAAAGAAGGTGAGCCAAAAACTATCGATAAAGCGGTGTATGAAATAAAAGCATCAACGACGAAATTGAATTCGTTAACTTTTGACGGTGATAGTTTCGTTAATGACATAACATCGGGGAAAACAATTTTAACGAAAGAATATTTAAAATCTCATGTTAGTGAGTTCGTTGAAATTGAAAAAGAAGGTGGAATTAAGTTCGATCCACTGAATTTCATTTTCAGCTTAGCGAATGCG